TGAGAATACCAACGTGCTCTATAAGTTTAAAAAGCTGAAATAAAATCTTGCTTTATTAGCAAATCAATCCTGCTAATCTACAATGGCGCGAAAAAGGTAGGCTGGGCTTAATGTATAAATTTTTCAAACTTAAATGTTAATGTCTATCGTGTTATGTAGTTTTTAAAAGTAGCCTATTTGAATGATCGTCAAATGAAATTTTAAAATACGCGAATTTATTGGCGTCACAAAGGGGTGAAGGGGGTGGATGGAGTGAGTGAACGTCATAAGTAAACACGTTTCTTAGTTTACAGAGCAGTTAAAGCTTGAGCAACTCAACGAAATAAGTGCAGAATGAGATTATAATACAATTTTTTGTGCAGATAATCTGATTTTAGCTAGTTAGGTTTACGGCAAAAAAAAATGTAGATCTAACGCAACAGACCTACACAATGACGTCACAAAAATATGTAGATCTAACGACAGTCCAAGACTTTGACGTCACTACCCGATGTAGTTCAATATTCAACGTACCTTTGGGGGATTATAAAAATTTACCATGGCTCATTATTTAGCGAAATAAGCAAATTATACATCTAGAATCTAAAATTATGTGCTGTAATGACATCAGTCATATGCTACATTAATTTATGGTCCAAGTTAACTGTAGGCTACATTAACATATAGACACACTAACATAGACAAACATGAAATATTGATGAACCTATTGATTGGGGGGGGGGGGGAGCAGCAATGTAGTGTACCCGCGGTCAGTCCCCTCACCCAGGCTCCCGTGATCTGGTTTCGACTGGAAGACAGGTTCGTTCTGTGACCTTGGGTCGCGAGTGCCGTGACCTTGTGATGGTAGACGCCCATTGTCTCGCGCACATGAAGCTTTGTTGCGTTTTGTCATGGTCACTTCATTCTAGTTCAAATCTAGTAGGGCTGGTCATGGTCACTTCATTCTAGTTCCAATCTAGTGTGGGCTAGCCAGGCTCGGCCAACTGGTGGGTCAATACATGGAATACATGCGTGTGGGTGGGTGGGTGGGGGATTTAATTTTAACTGGGGGGGGGGGGGGGGGTTGAAACTCAACCCTTTATCCGTAGCTAAACTCAAACACAACCCCCACAACCTAACCTGCTTCAACTTAAACACTACCATACTTATATTTTTGTACTATCATGTGGCCTCACCAGTAGCGTAGCGAGGGGGGCGGGGGGGGGGGGTGGACATATGTCCCCGGGCGCCGACCTTAGGGGGCGCCAAAATGGGTTGGAAAAAGAAATTGAAAGTTTGAGGGGTTGGAAATCGAAAGTTTGAGGGGGGTGCAAATCGAAATCTCGAGGGGGGGTGCAAATCGAAAAGTTTGTCCCCGGGCGCCGGGAAGGGTCGCTACGCCACTGGGCCTCACCATAAGCACAACCATACTTATACAGTGTTTCTTCCAGACATCTCTTCGGGGGGGGGGGGATATAAAAACGTATAATTTTACCAGTGTCTGCCACCTCCCCCCCCCCCCCCCGGAAAATGTCCGCCCACCCGAAAATATCAAGTGCCCCCCCCCCCTTCCCTGGAGAAAAAAAGTCTGGAAGAAACACCGTACTCACCTTTTTGTGCTATCATGGCCTAACCTTAAACACAACCATACTCATACTTTTGTACAGGTATTCTCTCTGAACTGTGGAGAAACGATAACATTGTTTGTTTGCTCCGTACAAGGTTGCCATATTGGCAACTGAGACTCAGAACATTTTCCCCTAGACCAATGTTTGTAGTATAATTTTTAAAATGGCCTATCATTAATGTCGTGTTGCATTATTGGCATACCAAATGTTACCCATATTGTACACAACACACACGAAAGCTGTTTTTTTTTTAAAATATGTTATTATTTGTATACTACAAACTAAAACAAAAACGACGAGGTCGGGCTCTGTACATAAGGTGGGAAAAATCCAAGAGTAAAAAGCAATGCTATAAAAATAGTACGACATTGTATAAAAATAGTATAACATTGCTTGTTTGAAAGGTTAAAAACTGACGATATACTAAAAATAAACCAGCATGTCGTCATTCGGCTGACATTAACCTGGATGACGTCACTGAGCTTCCATCGGGGGATTCCCCCTCAGGCTGGGGTTAGATTTTCCTTATATTCTCCCCACCCACCCTCCCTCCCCACCCACTTTCTTTTTTTTTCAACCCGACGCCTTCAATGAACCGGCATTAAAGCGTGGCTAAATGTACAGTTGTTTACTGAACATTGGAATGGTTTCATCCAATCGATCAGCTTATGTCAACATGGTGCAAAAATAACTAAACAACCTGTTAGCACTAAAATTAATTCTTAGAAGTTTAAAATCAACAACATAGAAGATAATGGCGCAACATAGATCTAAATTCAATGCTGTTTATCAAAGTCGACTATAGTGCAAGAAGAAATTGTCAATCTATGGTTATTCCCCAGTTGCAACTCCGTTTTTTTTAAAAAAACAAGCTCAGCATATAGATCTAAATGTTCCGAGAAAATTTTAGGCTAGATGTTTATGAAACTCTATTTTTATTTATAAAGTGCGCTAAAAGTCAGATATTTTAAAAACAAACTCAGCATATAAAAATAAAAACCAAATAATTTGAAAAGAAGCTCAGCATATAAAAGTTGTGAGAAAACTTGAGGCGGGAGGTTCGAGCAAGCGATCAAGACAACTTACTGACAAGACCTTGTGTCTGTAGCACTGACCACAACCTAAAACAGCAGACACTGACCATCACCTAAACACCACGTACGTAAGTAGCAGGAGATCTTTCGATACACTTATGTTTTTCAACCTAGGCCAATGTGGCAAGTCAACTTTGGTCGCTAACTAATCAAATTCCAGCCTCTAACGACGAACGATAACTCGACTACTGTAGGCCTACCTTAACGATCTGAAGTTACAGTAGAAATGGTTTACCGTCCCGTTTCACCAATCAGAAATTGTAAAAGTCTCGTTTCGTCGAATCAGGTATATAGGTATATCGTCGATATACCTATAAACTCTAATATGTTCAAGCTAACAATAAACCTACTGATTTAGTGTTTAAATGTGATAAAAGTGCAATCAGAAATTGTAAAAGTCTCGTTTCGTCGAATCAGGTATATAGGTATATCGTCGATATACCTATAAACTCTAATATGTTCAAGCTAACAATAAACCTACTGATTTAGTGTTTAAATGTGATAAAAGTGCTATCTCGCTCAGCTTTACACCGAGCGTGAATAATTTAGGTCTACTTTTCAAAGGTCACAGCTCCAGTCATGCGAATATCAAGGGGCCTACATAACTTTTTTTTATGCAACCGTCTCTCTAAGTATTTGACATCTTCCGGCGACCAGAAGGATATAATAATTTTAAATGAACAAAAAAAAAGGCTAGGTCTGGTCGATACACTCATGCTATAGGGCACATCTTTAAAAGAAAAAAAAACAGTCACATTTAGTAATATAAAAGTAATAACTTTCTAAAAACTTTGAATGCTGTGTTCCCTGTAATTTTATCTGGCAGTTTTTGTCCCACGCCCGCCTAGAGCGGCCTAGTCTTCAGAGCATAACAAGATGGGTTTTTTTTAGCCCAGAGATCACCAATCAAATTACGTGAGCCTTGATTGTAAAATGAGGAAATGAACATCGTAATATGATTTAATTAGGCTATGGGCACTAAATAATAAAGACATATTTTAGACCCTTGTAAGTTCAGACATGGTGGTCAACATAAAGCGTCCACATCATCTTCCGTGGTTAAATATAAATAAGAATACAGACGTCTAGTTTTGGCCTATTTAAAACAAAACACACATGCCTATTCAAAGGCAATCAAAAGCTAGACTTGAATGTTAACCAAGAAGCGTACCAGCATTTATATACGGATAGCTTTTGTGGAGGCATACACCTACAAGTAGTAACTTCACATGGCGTATGATGCGGTCCGCACAGGGTGACACCATCTCGAAAAAAATAACTGAAAAATTATTGTTTTATCCAGCGAAATTTAAAATGCTAGATTGTTGGAAGGAGGGGTGACACTCGACCTAGTGACGCCACTGTAAAGGCCAACTGTATTAAATCTATTTTGAATCAATGTTTGTTATAAGTTTTGATCAGTATGAGAATTATATATACCGGTACCATACTACTACTACTACTTTAAATAAGTATTAGTATAATTTTAAAATCTAGCTAAATTAAAAAAAAAAAAAAGAAAGAAAAGAAGAAGCCAGCAGGATCGTAGAGGCCTGAGTGATACACCAATGAGAAACGACCCGTGTGTCAGAGGGGCGGGCCACGCTGGTCAGAAGGCCTTGGGTTAGCGTCTGCCGAGCCTGTGGTCGAGTGGGCTCCCAATATTTTTTCCCCGCTTCTTTCACGTACGCAGCTTTTGCCTATTGCTGTTTTAGTAAAACCAAGTCCCCTATCTAATCTATACGGGCACTTCAATGAGTTGTCCTACTCGTAGCGCTTAATTCGTCTTCCAATGAACGTTGATGCGTGCATTGTTCTAGTTCGCGACATGTCGGTGCAAGGTTACAATACATAGTGCTGAAAAGGGAGGATTGGCCCTGTAAAAAAAATAGAATTTTCCCTGTGCCAACTATCTAGATGTAGGTCAAAATAATACGGGGGAAAATAACACGTGACCAAGAGAAAACGTTTCAATGGCAGAATTAGTTCGGAAATTCTTGGGGTATCAACTCCTATGAGGCCTATTTTATAAGGTCTTTATTTACATTTTTTGCAGCTGATATATTTGTTTTTAAATAACACGAAGTGGTTTTTTTTTTTCTTTCAGTTGAAAGAAAATAATACACACAAAAAAGTGCGATAACTTAAAGTAAAATGAATTTGACCGCATTGTTTGTAGGACATAAATATAAAGTTAGATAGACGAGAGTAGTAGCGCCTCACGAGATGCCATCTCGCGGCTGCATGAAGCATGAGTGTTCGGCGCGTGTGGGCATATACGCGCAATAATGCGAGAAATCCAGTCTGTCCCGGTTTTGGCCGACTCTCTCTACGCTCCGTGTCTCTCTTTAAGAGGCGAAGGGAAGTAATCGATAAAAACGAGTTTCCTCTGATTTCAGTTTGAACCTGTCTCCATTCCCCTGCAATAAAATCCATTCTCTTATTCAATTGTGGAATTCTCTTTTGCCGGATTTGAGGATTTATGTGATGTATGTGTTTACAGTGGTCTTTTCAGAATCAATATAACACACGGACGAACCCCACAGCAGCGCGTGTTCGGGGTTAGCAGGAGCACACCGGCGTTTCATCATCGCCGCTGTAAATTTACACAGTGTGGGTGGTGTGTAGAGCTCCTCTCTCTGACGTTTGGTCAGTTTGTTTTCGATATAAACTGTGTGCTCTTCGCGGCCAGGTTAGGCCTAGGCAAACCAAGTGTCCGGGCGGATATTTCTTACATTGGAGTTTTATTCAAACGACATGATATTATAATACAAGGAGATCGTTATTAAAACGTGAGACAGTGGTGGACGTGCGCAGATTGTAACCCAGGGCCCTAACACACAACTTGAATTCAAGTGACGAGTTGGGAAGCGTAAGCCGTGAGTTGATTCTAGAGCTATTTTTTTGTTTGGTGGGGATAGGTTTACCCATTAAGCCATTATTGCGTGCATAACTATAAACTTACTTAAAACATTAAACCTTGCCATACTCTAAAAAAATCTATCATCATTAGGCCTAAATTATAGGCAACATTGAATAAAGCCTTTATATAAAATTAGGCCTAGGCCCTTCAAAAGTTTTTAGGCCTAGGCCTATTTAATATTATAATATATAAGAATTATAAGGCAAAGCCTACCAAAATTTTTGAACAAATTAAATTTGCTTAGGCCTACTAAAATAAGAATATTAGGCCCAGATCTAGTAGTAGATCTAGTATAGGGCCTTAACAGTGGGGTACAGTCTAATCAAAAATACTTTCCCAAAGCTCTAAATAATCCAACCACATAGGAAATGATCTCAAATATAGTCGTTTACAGCGTGTTTTTTTGTGTGTGTGCTATCTGTGTATGTAGTATAGAATTCTATGGGACTCAGCCTATTTATTTTCTATGTTGTCAATATTGATAGGCCCAACCCCCCCCCCCCCCTCCCATAGTATATGTATACTCTAGCTCTAGTAATACATCAATGAGATTCAATGTGAATCTACTAGACACTCTGTAATTTAGTACGCATTAGGCCTAATATTATAATAATAGTCTACATTGAGTCTAATCTTGTTTTATTTAATTTAACCATGGCTAATAATGATAATGCCAATAATGCTGGTTAGTCAGGTGTAAATCTAGCAGTCCTTGTAATTTTGATTTCATTATCAATACTAAGAAAACTCCATTTGGCCTCCTGAAGAAGAAAAAAGAAAATCTATTATATATATATTATATAACTCTTGCAGTCTGATCCTAGTTTTTTATGTTAACAAAAGTTTGTTTACGAGTCGCAGGCGAAAATGTATTCAGAATTTGGTTTCGTATCATTCGCTAACGATGACATCATCCGAAATTAAAGCCAAATACAATTTATGTTTGGCCGAAGCGGTCCTTAGCTGTCTGCTTATCTGCTGCTGTTGCAAAATAGTCACCATACTCATACATTTTAACATAATTGTTTTTTTACTCACTTAAACATTTGATCACAGGTTAGCTAAAGCTCTACATATAAAAACAAACGGATGATTTGTTTATACATCTTTTAAGTACACATGGCATATTAAACAGTCTTGTCACAATAAAATACATTTTACGTTAGGCCTATTGTGTGTAGCGTGTAGTGAAGAGTATGCCTACCTAGTTGATCTAATTTTTTTATTTAAAAAGTCACAAGTCAGTACCTATACTAGACAAATATTTGTAACAATTATTTATTTACTTTTCAAATATTTGGATCTGTATTACAATCTAGATCTAGATGTATTTTGTCTTAATTAAGAGTTTGTAATTAAATTATTTGCATGAATTCTTTCATGCAACTGAGCAAGTTGAAAAAAAAAACCGCCGCGGCACGTGTCGCGCATTTTTTGTAAGGCTAGCTAGACTAAGTCCTAGTTTAGCTAGCAGACTAGATCTAGATCTAGCTCTCGGTATAGATCTATAGGTCTAGAACAACTAGATTTTAGATCTAGACTCTATAACTCTATATAGATCTAGTATATAGGCCCTAGAGTAGTAGATCTAGATCTAGACAAAACACATAGTCATACACATATGGATAGGCTTTCTTTTATGCGAATGTGTGGCTAGTCTAGAAATAGGATAAGCGGCGGTACATATCCACTTTGCAGCCTCCCTTTGCAGCCGTTGCTAAATTATGAATTGTTTGGGCCTAGATTTAGATCTCAATTATCAAGATCTAGACTAGAACTAAATTCTCTTGCTGCTAGACCATCTAATCTAGATTTAATAGGCCTAAAACTGGTAATCTATCGTTTTGGGTACGTAAAATCGCCCGCGATTTGTAATGTGAAAAACAGGTGACTCTTTAAATTTTAATAATTATTTCACATTTTGAGGAGGATTTATGTTTTAAAAAATTCAAAAATGTTTCCTTGATTCATTTATGTACCTGTTTTTAAACAATTGAATTAAAACTTTTCAGTAATAAATGAAGACTAGCGATGTTTCCAACAGATGCAACCATGCTCATTTACTGTAGCAGCCATCTTGTCTAAGTTTTATTTTTATAAGCTTTTAGCGCCAGATTCAGGGGGAAGCCACTCTATTTTACAAATGGCTGCTGTTTATATAGCAAATCTTGCTCTCAGACACTGCTGTTTAAAGTTAATTTCTGGCCTATATCGATATATTTAGCCATTGATTTAGGTTTATTATTCATTTATCTATAATATTTGACACAAAAGTATGACAATATTAATAGAATATACTTCTATTAAAGGCTTGACAATGAGGTAACGTTTTCGTACATAAATAGCCGCGGGCGATTTTACGTACCCAAAACGATAGATTACCCTAAAACTAATTACTTTAAAAGATTTAAAATAGAATTATTTAGGCATATAGGTCTAATAATAAATAAATGTATAAAATCCATTAAATGAAATATTAAAAATCATGTGTATTGTGTATAACCAGTGAAAGAGTATAATAAATCTAATAATATAATACTATAGATCTAGATCTAGTTGGGATTTTAAGATAATCATCAGTTCACATTACTTTACATTTTACATCAGCTACATGCAAAGCTCAACTGATGTCATGGCAGGCTACAAGGGAGCTAGATTCTAGATCTATATCTACATAGATTCTAAATGTAGATCTAATAATCTAAAAGTTAAAAGACTATCACAAAATAATGGTATTACATAATAAAGGACTACTAATGACAGTACTGAGATATATTTGGAAAACATTGGCTAATATTTTGCTGCAGAAATGGTAAACGGTTTTTGTAATTCAAGAAATTAATTTTTAATAAATCAAATTTTTTTAATTAGATTATTGCTTAAATGATTGTAATTTTATTGTTAAACCTAACTTTTATATATATTTACACACATGCGTGACCTATGCGAGTCAGCTGAGAAATTTTAGTAATTAAATCATTAAGTATGAAGCCAGCAACAGAAACCAGAAACATTATTGTCATTAAATAGCCATCCTGAGATAAAACATTAAATTTGTAATTTGAAAATTTTTATTGATATTCTTTTTATATTATAATAATCTTCTGTGTTAATTAGATGATTTTTTTAATCACCACCAATAGCTGCGTAACAGTGCGTATTGCCCTAACTAAATGTAGCTGTATTTTTACATTAATCAGAATAATTGTATTTACATTTGCTTTATATATTTTGTTTGTAATGTTCGGTTATTATTCTGTTTGTTAGAACCATTACTTAGCTATGTATTGTGTAATATTGCTATCCTGGCCTCTAATATTAATAGCAGTATATGCAGATAAAGAGGTAGAATTTTTTTATTTTTATTTTTTTGCAGTGGACGATTTACCACTAAAATTTTATTTTTTGTTAATCTTTACTCTTAAAACATTGGTAGTGTTTCTTTGCTGGAATATAAAACAATATATTTAACCCCTTTATAAAGAACCACAGTATCTATATACTGAGTTCCTTGTTTTTGTTTTTTCACACACACATACAACTATCATTATTTCTGGTATTTTTTCATCTAAATCATAAACTATCATAATTTTTATATATATATATATATATATATATATATATATATACACATATACGAACATTTAATTGCAGCCACCGCAGGACCTGCTTGATTTGTACTGCCTTCCTCGTCGGTGCTTTAATCGTCGGGGTTGGCCTTGCAGCTGGGCTTGCCATGGGCCTAAGGAAAGACAGTGAAAATAACAGTGCAACAAAAACTCCAGTCTATAAGTCTTCGACCCAAACTTACAAGTACGCTGCAGTCGTAGCTGATTCGAAAGTCAGCTCAGACATTGGCAAGTAGGTATTGCTTAGAAATCTTTATGATTATTGAGAATTTTTAATATCATACTATTTTTTTATTGTTAAAATTAAAAATAAAGAAGGGAAAAATTAAAGATAATTCTTTTTTTCTCTGGAATATCTTATGCCTTGCAGATTGCTAGAGTTTTTAAAAAATGTACTTTTTCTTCTTTAGTGATATATTAGGTAGGAAAAGAGGAAATGCTATAGATGCTACAGTAGCAGCATTATTGGCCACTGGCGTTTTAAGTGCTCACAGTGCTGGCATTGGAGGCGGTTCATTTTTTGTTATATACCACAAGTAAGTTTCCTTGTTGTCTTCATCTGTACCTCAACATTATGTATTTTTAAAAAAGGTAAATACAAGTTTAAAAAGTATAGGTTAAGACATTTAGTCTTTAAAAACTTTGCTTTTTAGGGAGCATGGTTGGCACTCTGTGGATAGTCGGGAGACTGCACCCGCTGCAGCTACCACAGATATGTACCTGCCACCAGAGGATAGAACAAAGTCTATGTATGGTAATACAAAATTTCAAATGCAGATGATAAACTATTGATTGAATCACAGCTCTTGATTGTTTATATCATTGACATGTGTGCTATGCATTAGGGAAATACAATTTTATTTCCAGGTGGCATGGCCATAGCGGTGCCTGGGGAAGTCAAAGGTTTATATGAGGTGCATAAAAAGTTTGGTAAAGTGGCATGGAAAGATGTTGTTATGCCAACTGTTAAACTTTGCCAAGATGGTGTACCATTAACTAGAGCTCTACATCATGCACTTAGTAGACTCCAGTCAGATGAAGATAAGAACAAATTTTTGTAAGTAGATATTCACGTTTTTAATTATATAACTTTCATGTGTAATTGAGTATTGATTTGTTTTGTTTGTGGAATGTTGAATTCAACCTTACCTTTATTTTCAGACCATACTTTGACCACAATAGAAATGTAAAACCTATTGGAAGTCTGATAAAATTACCAAAACTTGCCAAAACATTCCAAGCCATTGCTGACAACCCACTGTCTTTCTACAATGGCAGTTTAGCCAGTGATATTGTAGCTGATATTAAAGATGCAGGTAAAAATTTGTTTTGGTTTCAGCACCAAGTCAATTTTACATAAGGGGCTTAGGACATTTGAAGAATGTAGAAACATGTGGTTGCTCCATCTACTGCTTAAAATAGTAGTTAAACCATTTTAACAGGTGGAATTATAGAGCTGAAAGATCTGGAAAGCTACTCATTGAAATGGGACAAACCAACTGAGATGCATTTGCCTGGAGATATATGTGTGTATTCTGTCCCTCCACCTGGAAGTGGACCTGTCCTCAGTTATATTCTCAGTATACTTAGTGGTGGGTGTTTCTTTCACTAAGCCAAAAGTAGTTACCTACTTCTTAAAAGGATGAGGACATTGAAGTTTTGGAATGTTTATGTTAAGACTTTGCTATATATTTTTCTCTTAGAAGAGCTGCTATTATATTTTTTGTTTCTCTACATTTCAGGATATAAATTTAGCCCTGAAAGTATTTCAACTGATGAAGAATCAATACTCACTCACCATAGGATCATTGAGGCTATGAAATTTGCTTATGGAAAACGCACAGAACTTGGTGATTCAAATTTTGTTGATGTGAAAAAGGTATATATTGTTTGTTTTATTAAATGTTTTTGGCATTCTTATTTAGTAAAATATCGATTGCATGACTTATGTTTTGAAAAGTTGCTTTAAAAACATTTTAATTTAATAAATTATTTGATTTTTCTTGTAGGATGTTGAAAACATGACTTCATTGGCTTATGGTGAGGCCATTAGGCAGCTTATAGATGATAAAGAAACTCATGAAACCAATTATTATAAGCCGTCCTTCTATAACAACAATGATGAAGGAACAGCCCATATATCTGTGGTAGATGCTGAGGGAAATGCTGTTTCAGTCACAAGCACTATTAACACTTAGTAAGAATTTTAAAATTACCTTCTTAAATAAGTGTCACTGCTGATGCCAGCTGTTTGGTTTTTTTTTGTATCCTGCTCAGATGATAATTTCAACTATGGAATGATTTTTTTCAGTGAAAAACTGGATATTATTATGAACAGTTACATCTTTTGGGATAGAAAGTCAAGTCTGATTTTGTCCTTCGATTTATGAAGTTATAATATGGTCATTTCTATGCCCAGCTTTCTTTACTTTCCCCAATTTGAAACTAATATCCATCAGAGCTGGATGAACTCAGGCATATCTTTGGGCATGAATCTGTGAATTTATCATGACTAGCAGTTTTACATCCTAAGCTGGGCCCAACTATCCCATTTTATGTAGATAACAACACAATTTTGAAAAATAACTTACCAAGAGTTTCTTATTTTAGACTTATTATCCTCTAATATATTGCCTTAAAAGACCCATGTTTTGGATATTGATATATTTACCATAAATTTTTTTTCTCAGCTTTGGTAGCAGAGTGAGAGGAAATAGAACAGGTATAATTTTTAACAATGAAATGGATGACTTTTCTACACCAAACACTGCCAATTATTTTGGGCTTCCAGCATCAGAGGCTAATTTTATCCGTCCTGGTAAGAGACCAATGTCATCAATGTGTCCGGCCATAGTTTGGGATGAAAAAGCCAAGAAAGTTAGATTGGTTACAGGGGCAGCAGGCGGCAGCAAAATCACTACTTCCACAGCATTGGTGAGTCCAGTTAGTTTGTCAAAAAGGATTGTGCATAAAGGGGTGTGTCATTTGTTCGTTTTTTTTCTCCTCACTCCTGCTAGTATATTTTGTAAAATAAGGTGGAAGAATTATACTTTTTGAATACTTTTGTAAACCAATTTGTTTGATTTCCTCACACAGAATATAATGGACGTCCTCTGGTTTGGCATGTCATTACCTGCTTCAATAGACAGACCGAGACTGCACCATCAACTTATGCCTCCAGAATTGGTTGTGGAGAAAGATTATCCAGAGGTAACTGTCTAGTCACTCAATTTGTAACTTTTGAAGATTGTAATATAGTCTGAAATAAAATTCAAATAGAGTATAGGCTGTATATTTGTACAATTTTAACTATTATTTTACAGTTTTGGCATGGGTTATTATTATTATAATAATTTCAAAAGGTGTCAAAAATATTATTCTTTAAACAGGTTTATGACACAAGCCCATTATTACAGAACATCTAAGTTTAGTTATGTTTGTTTACCTATTTGTTTTCCCTCCAGACAATACTAAATGGGCTTAGAGCTAAAGGTCATGTGACAAAAAATATGGTTGGATATTCTGTGGTCCAGGCAGCTGATGTTTTGGAGAATGGTATTGTGGGTACTGCTGACTTTCGCAAAGGAGGAGAGCCTAGTGGATTCTAGCAGTGTCATTTAGATTAATTTATTAAGACTAGTTTGTGTAAATGAAATGTCCACGTTCGTGATTGGCAAACGTTAGATTTTTTTAAATAAATATATTCTATTCTATATATTGCTAACAATAATTGCTTAGTGTTTAAACTTGTTTTTTTTTTTTTTGTTTTTTTTAAACTTGAAAAATCATTGGTCATTTTAGTGCAACATCAGTGAAAGAATTAGATACTATCAATAGGCTGTCACTCCCTAACATTACACTTACATAAACTAGCCTGCTGTTTTGTTATGTACATATCACCCTTGTTGTCAATGTTACCATTTTTTTAATGTTATTTTTTGTATTAAATACAACACTAGGCTTAAATTAATGTTGATTAACAATTTTTTTATACAATGCAAAGTACTTCAATTAATTCCTAGTCACCTTATCTTAGTGTTGCTTGGAACATACAAGTTTTTGATTAATGCTGGGAATAACCACAAGTAAAAGTGGCGCTGATTCAGGCATGAAATAAGTTAAGGATAAACTGAATCTCTTAGATATTGACCAAATCAGCAAAATTAAAATCTTCCCATATTTCATTAATTGCTAATTAGGTTTAACTGATACAATTGCTCAAACTTTGTAAAAAAAATAATTAAATGTGCATATTAAAATCAGAAAAATGTAATGAGTGAATCTTGAAAGAATTGTATTGGGAATTGTAATGTAATTAACATCAGTTAAGTCTTTTACTCTCAACTTGTGTGTACATCCCATGTTCTAAGGTTTCTTTCAAGCACATGCAGTTATTTGCCTTTGACTAGAAGGGTTTTTTCTTTTAAATGTACCCTTTCACACTGAGCAGAACCAATCATTGGCCATTCCTATTTTACGTGGTTAACTTTAGGTAATGTGCCAGAATTTTTCCAGAGATGTAACTTAACTTTTTTTAAAGAAATCCTATTTCTTCAACGAAGGTTTTGAACTGTGAAATTTAAAACAAATAAGTTTTCAACAATATAATTTCCCTAGAACGTGAAAACTCCACCTTGATAAAACTGAAAATACTGTAGGTTATCAATTACATTATTTCTTTTTAATGAATCTTTACATTATCTGTAGGCAAAATACATTGTGCATGCTTTTTAATGGAAAGTTTTTGTCTTGTGACTGGCCTATGTTTACAAATTTCATAACTTAAACCAGTTATGGTCTAGAGGTGGTCATATTGCAAATCATATTCTTTTCTGTATTTTAAAAAAAAAAGTTAAGGATGAAAGTATTTTCCTTCTGTCGATTAAGATTTCTAAAGGCACAATTTTCTATAGCATTCCATGGTTGTTTTACCCTTAGTTGAATTGTTTCCTAGCAGATTACTAACACTCCATAGACTGTTTTGTTTCTTGCTTATCGCCAAGCTTGTGACACTGGTTGAATACATTTTAATTTAATAAATATAAAATATAGTTGTAAGCCTAGTATGTTACATGTGATAACATCCAGGTGGCCCCAGACATTCTTTAGACATGGAACTTGCTCAAATTATTTATTGCCCTTTTTTAACACAAATTAAACAGTTGTTGCTAACATACACTTAGTCTACTTTATCAGCTTATGGAGAAATATGCTGATGTATTTACTAATTAAAATTGAGGATTCCCACTTTAAAAATTGCTGTTTGCAACAACATTAATGATGAGTTAAAATGTGCATTTTAAAATGGAAGAAATGGTCAGCTTAATAATGGTGACATCTTGTGTTACTAGTGTCTATGATCTGAAGTATTATCTTTGCTATTTTTTTTTATTTATTGTGTAAATATGTACATTTATACCATGACCTGTCTTTTACATGCATAGACATTTGACACTTGAATTTTAGCGTTAAATGCCCCTTCTCAGGAAAGCTAAAGATGACCTTCTTCAGTACTATACAAACTTGAGGTACCAAAGTTATGGTTTTCTATTTATGTTCAAGGTTCAAAGGTTGCTTGTCCAGTGATGAATCCAAAGTGCAATATTTGATATTAGTGAATGGTTGCACAGTCGAGCATGAGATGAACTCATCTTTACTGGGTTCATGGGACAGTTTTTCTTCCACTTTAACTATATTTTAAACATTCTAAATTTAAAACCAATTTCTTACCAACACATTTGATCAATTTTGAGGTTATGCTTTTAATGTATTTTTTTTTTATATAAATAGTTTTGTTTACAATTCCTGCACCATCTGAAGTATGTCATTTTAAAATAAAGTTTGCCAGTTATTTTTAATGAGTAACCTAACTAGACCAGTAGCTAATGTTTATCTCAATGAAACAACTCATTTACTGCAATCTCTTATGACTAGGTAGTTAGAGTCACTTTAATCCTCCAAAAAGTCATAATTTGGTGATGTGTCGCAAAGATATTTCCTACGTGTTGGTCTGAAAATCAGTCGTGACAAGTCATAAATTGGTGATGTGTCACGAAGATATTTCCTACGTGTTGATCTGGAAATCAGTTGTGAGCATCTGAGATGCATTTCATTTCTTGTACAAACCTTCAATTTTTAATGTACATTTAGATATGAGTACTACTTTTAATGTGCTTGTATTAAACTGAATTTTAAAGTACCTTTGTTTGTTTGTTTTTTTATAAAAATTTTGTTACATTATTTGTGTTGGTCATTTGGGAAGCCCAGGTAGGATTAGCACTGTTCATTGTCAAGTGTGAAAACTATGTTGTCCGATGGGTTTAGCATTTACATCACGTGGTGTGGGTGTGGACATCAATGGAAAACAATTTATCTAATCTGATTTTCCATTTAATATTGCAACTTTATAAACATCAATGTTTTTGTTAAATGTACACAGCAACACCTGCATGATGTACAATCTATTTTAGTAGCAAACATCAAATATACAAGTGGTTATGACACTTTCACCCTACCTAGAAATGCCACTGGGGTTTAGTCCTGTGGTCTGGGTTAGGCCAATTTGTTGTCTGGTGGGGCTTACCCTGCTCAGTGGCATAGTCAGGGCCTTGTGGGAAGGGAGAGGGTGGTGGGGGCTCTCTTGTCAGGTGGGATGAGCAGTTTGTTTTATTTAAAAGCTTTTAGTCTAGTACTTTCCAATGAAGAAATTAAAACTTATTTGACCTGTATCCACACTGGCTTACTACAACAGTCCCACAAGTTTGGATTTTTAAACTATGGAGGATCTGCACAAGTGAAAAGTATAATTGTATTAGAGTTTCTATGACATTTAATTACAGGGAGACTTAACGGAGTATAATTAGTATATAGGTTCTGTAGAGTTTGGTGAATGCATTGATTAAAAAGATGCTGATTCAGTTAGCTTATTGATTTTTTAAATAAACATTTTATTAAGTAACAGAAGATCATTTAGTTTAGTTAGGACAAGAGAATGTTGTTTTCTAAAAGATTTAGCACACCACTTAAATTTGTTTTTCTCATGTAGATATAGCTCTGTTTGATTAGGTTTTACCATTTAGAAAATTAGATGTTTCTGTAATACATTTTAGTAATCTGGTAGGTGGTTAATTTCTTTAAGAATAAAATGTTAAGCTACAGAGTAATTTTCCTCTTTCATTTAAAATAAGGTACACAACCGAGTTACCAATTAGGAAAAACAATATATACACAGTTACGCACCATGTTGCGTTTTAAACGGAATTCGGAGTAAGCCTACACGAGTCGAAAGGTCAGCCACAAAGACCGGCTTTAGATTGCTGTTTACGTGTTGTTTTAGTTCCCGCAGACAAGCAGATTATAAAGGTAATGAAAGATGTATCTGATATTAATTCTCTTAAAACTCATACTTTTAATAAAATGTTCACTCGCTATAGCTTCGTGCTTTGTTAGATCTAGATATTATATTTTAATTTAGAATCTAAATAATCTCCTGAACTTGTCATCTCACTCGTCGCTTGATTTGATTCCTGATTCGTCTGAGCAAGAATGACAAAGCAATTTTTATTTGTTAATCCTAGATTCTAGATCTACAAATTCTAAATCTATCTATCTAGACTAGAAACGAGTGAGATTAGATTTTTATTTAGACTCTTTAGACTCTATAGTATAGGCCTACTTTATATAACAATTAACATTTTCTTTAAGTTCAGTACGGAAACGACAAAAAATTTAGAATTCTAGAATATTATGTTTTTATGGATTTAAAAAAGCAAGCAATTTCACCAAATAGCCAAATGCCAGCCAAATAAACATAAAACTAGATCTAGATCATATAGATCTAGATCTAACTAATATTCTAATTTTTAAATTATAGTTGGGGTGCTAGATTAGGATCTAATTAATTTAGAATGTGAGATTATGATACATTCTATCTTGTTCTTATTCTATCCAGAAATTTCCATGTGCTATTATTTAATATTCATGTCTCCCCCCCCCCCCCCACCCCCAGTGTTCTGTACTTCAGCTTTAGGTCTAGTTCATTGTTTTTAATTTAAAGATACCTGAAGAAAAGTGTTTTTTTTTTTTTTTTTTTTAAATGGGGGCCTAAAAAGATAACAATGCAACTTAATCAGCTGTAGCCTAATTAATTATTAAATGCTTATTTTTTAAAGAGCTTAACATACAGATTAGAATATAATTCTCCATGCTGAATTTCAGGCCTCTTTTAATGCCATTCTGATGAAATTTAAAAAAAAACATGTAGGCCTAATGTATACAGAAAATGTATACTCTAACTGATCTACGCCCCCTGACAGTTTTAAGTGTCCCCCACCCTCTGAGAAAGAAACCCCACCTCTGGGTAAAAGAGTAGATTAAACACAAGTGCCTGTTGTTTATTGTTTGATAAGTTTTTACTTAGGTCACAATGTCTGATAGGTGGGTTTATAGTCAAAGTTTGTAAATTTGACCAACTTCTAAATGCAACTTTTTCATTTGAACTATTTTATTAATAAATTGATTTCTTATGACAACACAAGTATATAATTTTGAATCTAATTAGATATAAAAGTAATTAAAGGTTTACAAAATTATTCAATACTTTAATAAAATGGAGAGATAACTAAACAAGATTATGTTGTAGTGATAGTGAATGAGGCAGATGATCTGTGTTCACCAGAGTTTCTTCCAGGCATCCCAAAGAAAGTCTACCCCCCCCCCCCCCCGAACAAGATGGAATTTATATAGCAAACATATACTTTTACTAGTGTCCCCGCCCCCTCTAAAATATCAAAAAGTCTGGAAGAAACACTGGTGTTCACTGTCATGAGATCCATTCACAGACTCTAGTATGGGCATTTAGAGTTGATGATTGGGTTTTAAAGCAAATATTTTAAATAAAAATTACTGAATAAAAGGATTACTTATGTTACTAATTTAGGTGGACCAATAGTATTATAAATTATAAATTTAAAAAATAGTAAAATATGTTGAAAAGACTTCTACTCATTTAATTATTTTAGTTATCTAAAGCTAAATTAAGTTTTATTATCTTAAGTGTATTTAAAAGCTTGTTATTATAATAGAGGTGTTTTTTTTTTACAAAAATGTTAATTATTTTATACTGACTTATGATTATTTTAATGATAAGATACATTTCTTATATTTAGTATTGAATCATTGCTGATTCACTGCTAGTTGGAAGAGTTAATTAGGCCAAGCAGGCCACATAATTTGTGACCTAATTTAGTAAAGATGGCCAATGTGACCCTTTTTCAAACTATCCGTTGACACTTTTAGTAAATAATTTGTAGGACAAGTTTTCTTAGTATCAGTTGACAGTACCTAATTTGTTGGACATTTTTTTAAGCACAGGAATTCTGCAATATAAAATTCTAGTATGGGGCTACCCATTTAACTTAAACAGCCTATGTAGTGGACCTGTGATGTTGTCTGCATCTGGTGCTAGGAAGTTGTTTCCTATGTTACAATAGTGTTAGGAAGTTATTTCCCATTTTACAACAGTGTTATACATTATTGTTTCCCATATTACAATAATGTTAAAAAGTTATCTCCCATGGTACAATAGATATTGTTGGGCTGGTGGTAATTTTTGGGTGGTTTAGGCTTTCAGTTACCAGTAGGTGAATAGTTATTTTTAGCTGGATGTTTTTTCCTTAAAGATGGCACTCATCACTGAGTTAGGGATGTTTTATTATGATATAACTTTTTTTTCTTTCTAATTATTACTTCATGCTGTTTCCACAACTAAATGGATGTTTGAGTTCGCCCCCCTTATTATTGAGCAATTATTTTTCATAATTGTTAATTAAATTTAGGTAAAAAAAAAAATCCTTTATAAGATAGTTATTTTCAAAAACAAACTTTTATAAATGTAGCATCAAGCTCAATGAGTGGTCATTTGTTTTTCTTTACACATTGGTGTTTTCCACTATAATTGGAGACCATTATTGTTCTCTTTTAAATAAAACAATTTTATCACTAGATACTTGACACCAGACTACCAACCCCATTTACTAAACAAGACAACCCCTTATACAAGATATCCCTGCAAACACCCCCCCCCCCAACATTGAGATTCCTTACACCAACACAACACCCCCCCCCCCCTCCCACACACACACACACACAACCACCCATAACACAGACACTCACAGGTCCTATCCAACTCTACTTCAGGCTAACATGACCAGGTGTGCTGACAATATTCATACCTCTAATTAATTAACTTACTGAATGTGATCAAAATTCTAGCCACCACACCTGGTTGAATAAAGATCAGTCACCATTGTTGTAAAATTGCTGGTATTGTTTCGTGTTATATTGATTACCCATCCTAACAATATTTTTTAATTTTTTAATACAACAGCTGAGATAATTAAATTAGTATAATTTTGATGGTAAAATTAATAGCCATATTGGAGCAGGTGTGACACATTTATGCCAACTTTTCTTCAGTAAAAAATATTAAAGTCTACTGCGCTTATCATTATGGTAATTTATTATGTTTCAACTGTAAATTAAAAAAAACATTTATTATCTTAGATTGTACTAGTAGAAGCTATACATAACACATACATGCATTATAGAGTATCAAAATAACACATAAATGCATCATAAAGTATCAAAATAACACATACATGCATCTTAGAGTATGTATATATATATATATATATATATATATATATATATATATATATATATATATATATATATATATATATATATATATATATATATATCGGATAGAAATCGGCCTGTCATTTGGATAACAACAAACGAAGCCATTAATAAAAATCACCCCCCCCCCCCCCCATGGGTACTGCATCAACGTGACGTCAGATTCTAAACTTTTCGTCATGCTATACTCATGTTATAGTCTTAAAGCCCATTTCTCAAATTACGGGATGGCAAATACATAACACATTTAAAATGTTATAGCGCGAATGAAATTCTACGTAAACAAAATTGCGATTGTTTATATCCAATAACTAGGCTTTCAAGTTCGAGATAGTTGCCGAGTTGGCTTTAAATAGATGTATAAGATGAACGAGATTCATTAGTTTATACTTCAAACTCCTGTGGGGAGGGGGGGGGGGGGCTACAGGCGGATGCTTCAAATCTAACCAACTAATCACTATTTAATGAAAACTAACAGCTTGCAATTATCGAGTCAGTCAAGTCAGGACACCGAGTATGCTGCTGTAGTTGGGTCGGTAAAGTCAGGAGTGTGGCGTGGAGATGTTTACTTATGACATGACCATGACTTCTCGCCATTGGCATGTATTGGGGCCGTGTTGTCAGCTTGCGGTTAGCTTTCAAAGGGAATTCCCGATTACCGTAAGCCTCTCTTTACGTGACATCCCTGAAATAGGCTGTTTAAAAATTTCTTGGTTGAAACGTTGAAGTGGATCCGTTTTATTTGTAACAGTATCGTTTTTGTATTTGTAACTTTTATTTAGCCATACAACGGAATGACTGTGATCATTGTTCAGTATTTTAACCCTCTACACAACATAGACCTAACTTCTCGATTGCTGGGGTGGGGGGCGGGCTAACAAGAAGTTCTCATCATCTGCTCACTATATAGGCCTATTTAGTTTAAATTTAGAGCTACAAAAACTGTCCAAATGTATCGCCTAAACTGCCCCAACTGGTCAGTCTAAAGAGTAATGTGCTCGTGTGACTGTCCAGTCTTAACATTTAATGTTGTGTGACCCAGTGTATACAGTTGCTGGGTGACCGGAACATCCTGTACCTTGTCAGAACTCCAGCCAATCTTCATGAAATTGATCTTTTCCAGGATATATTCAAGGAGTGGCTGTGTTTTCGAGATGGTATGGCTAGCCACTCCAACATATTTGTTTCGAAATGTCTTTTAAATCGAATTATTGTGTAGTGTGTGTTTACACCTGCTCTCAGTCTGGACATAATCTTACGTTACTGTTTAGAACACGAGTTCCCAATCTATGGGTTGCAACCCACGGGGGTCGCGAATGGGGTTTCTGGGGGTCTTCCTCATTGTCTGGGGGTCACAGGTCACTTGGATTTTATAAAACGGGGTCGCCACTTGAAAACATCTGGGAATCTGTGGTATAGAATTACCCCAAATTCAAACTTTTATTTTTTTAACTTTAAACAGTTGGGCCTATTTTAACATTACAAAATTATGTTGAGGGGGTTGTTTAAATCGGGAGCTGATAAATTTTTTTACAATTTTAAACTACAAGGGATATGTGTGAAAAGGGTTTATACAGTGTGGTATTTATACGGCTAGGGTCGTCCACTTACCGTCACACACATCAATCTCGCGAGAACCACCGCGTCATATCTTGTCACGCCCTGCCATCTGGTTGTCATGGTAACGGCACCAAGCTACCCAGCATTTCCGATTCTCCTGATATTTCTGTGTGGATTTATTGTGAGCATCATGTGATCGAAACGAGCGATTCCATCGAGCACGGCGAAGATAATGCGACGAAATGACATTTATGCAACCAAACGATGTATGTGTGTGTGGTAGCAAGTGTTCGACCGGCAGACTAGGCCGTTACTGCTTGTACCGACGACAACAACGATGCTTGACTCTGGGCCCAGCATGGACGACATGGAGAGACTTGGGCCTAGATGTTGGCGGTGTCTGAGTGGGGACAGGTGACGGCATCTGTAGAACACAGTAGACCTGTTGATATCTTGACGTGTACAGTTGTACTGGTGCCGCGTTGTAGAGATGGACTGATGCAGCAGTGGGCTAGTCTTGTAAAGATGTATCGAGTCTACCTACAGGAATATTACAAGTACCTGGCCAATCTAAGGGAAGAAACTCCGCCGTCTTGTCCTGCTTCTGACGGTGATTGTACCGTGGATGATCCTCCCTTTGTAAGTCACCGAGACAGCCTTGACATTGTCAGTGTCTAAGGGCCCCTTGTTAATCCAGGTTTCGATATTGTAAGTCTCACTAATCCAGGTATGTTTAACATTAGGTAGGGAGGATGGGGGGGGGGGGGGCACGTTTCTTCTGCAAGGGTAAAAGATTACAGTTGTTGACTATCGTCGTGTTGTAAGGCTATGGTAAAAGTTCGACAGTTCCGTGAGATTTCGTGACTGAAATATGGTCACACTTTATAATATGTTGACATTTTGCGATATTATCATATTTTATGACATGTGGGTAACATTGGTGATATGACCACTTTTTGTGACACGTCATGGTTGACATTTGACAAGACAACATTTTGTGACATGTCATGGTTGACATTTTACATTACCACGTTTGACATGACCACATTTTGTGACATGTAATGGTTGACATTTGACAAGATCAAATTTTGTGACATGTAATGGTTGACATTTGACATGACCACATTTAGTGACATGTCTGGGTGTCCTACAACTGCGACAACCACCGGGAGGGGGGGGGGTGAAACCCCAGTGCCAGTAATTAATTGATGATGATCAGCGATGTTTTAATCCCCGGTAATTGGTCGTGTCCCAATCGATAGAAGCGCCGTCTTAACGTGCAGGTAGGGAGGCTCAGCGGGCTAGATGAACCGTTCGATAGGCTCGGGGTATATCAGTGACCAACTGGCAACAATATCATATCCCACTGATGATGGCGTCTGAAGTGGTAGGTCATCTCAAACTTTAAATTTAGTGTCGCTTCAAATTTATTTTGGTGTCACCTCAAACTTCTTATTTTGGTGTTACCTCAAAGTTTTTATTTTGATGTCACCTGAACACCTCAATGTTTTTTATTTTGATGTCACCTCAATTTTTTATTTATTTTGGTGTCATCTCATACTTTTTATTTTGGTGTCACCTCAATTTTTCTATTTTGATGTCACCTCAATTTTTTATTTATTTTGGTGTCATCTCAGACGTTTTATTTTGGTGTCACCTCAAATTTTTTATTTTGGTGTCACCGCGCCTACACTAGTGTGTACACACAGAGTTAGCATCACGTGACCATGTCGGTGCAAACTTGAGTTTTGCTTCATTGATGTGTCATGTTGTTTTAATGACTGGTGTTACACTTTTCACTTTCAATGTTCTAGCTGTAATGTCTCTAAGTCTGCGGTCATGACCCACATCATACAAAAACTTGGATGTCTGTGTGTGTGTCATGACTCAGCACTTTAGTGTGTGTGTGTGTGTTGTGACCTAGCTATGCCACGAACTTCACGCCTCAAAAAATCACTCATATCACTGAGCTGTCATCACGCTCGCACCCCCCTCCTCCCTCCCCCTCACGTGTTAATTTTCTGAACCAATTGAAATTGCTGTTTTGGTGTGTTGATTGATGGTTTGTCGTGTTTATTGTAGACTAGGCGGACTATCCAAGTGGTTGAGGTCTTGAACTTTCACTCTACTCATCAGCAACTGATTGTTTTCAATCACAGGTAGTTGGCTATTTGTAACCACCACAGGTAGTTGTCTATTTGTAGCCACCACAGGTAGTTGGCTATTTGTAGCCACCATAGGTAGTTGGCTATTTGTAGCCATCACAGGTAGTTGGCTATTTGTAGCCACCATAGGTAGTTGGCTATTTGTAGCCACCATAGGTAGTTGGCTATTTGTAGCCACCACAGGTAGTTGGCTATTTGTAGCCATCATAGGTAGTTGGCTATTTGTAGCCACCATAGGTAGTTGGCTATTTGTAGCCACCATAGGTAGTTGGCTATTTGTGACCACCACAGGTAGTTGGCTATTTGTAGCCACCACAGGTAGTTGGCTATTTGTAGCCACCATAGGTAGTTGGCTATTTGTAGCCACCACAGGTAGTTGGCTATTTGTAGCCATCACAGGTAGTTGGCTATTTGTAGCCACCACAGGTAGTTGGCTATTTGTAGCCACCACAGGTAGTTGGCTATTTGTAGCCACCATAGGTAGTTGGCTATTTGTAGCCACCACAGGTAGTTGGCTATTTGTAGCCACCATAGGTAGTTGGCTATTTGTAGCCACCATAGGTAGTTGGCTATTTGTAGCCACCATAGGTAGTTGGCTATTTGTGACCACCACAGGTAGTTGGCTATTTGTAGCCACCACAGGTAGTTGGCTATTTGTAGCCACCACAGGTAGTTGGCTATTTGTAGCCACCACAGGTAGTTGGCTATTTGTAGCCACCATAGGTAGTTGGCTATTTGTAACCACCACAGGTAGTTGGCTATTTGTAGCCATATGTCTTATATTACTCGTTATATATCTGATGACACTGTCCTGTATTTCAAAATTTGTAATAATCCATTGCAACCTGCGACATTTTCAACTAGGGTTTCTACCTATTCGTATCAGAAAATATATTTGTTCTGGGAGAGAGGGGTTTCGTGTTAACAGGTCTGTTTTGGACAGCTCGGTGGGGGGGGTGTCATGTTATCAGGTCTGTTCTGGAAAGCTGTGTCACCACTCCCATAGCTGAACGCGGATATCCCTGTAGCTACGACGTTAAGACAATATCCTGTTACTCAGCAAATTGTGTGCGCCATGAAATACCGTGGCCTGCACGAATGGATGGCTTACGGTAATCGTGTGCGCATGTTTTAACCGGCGGCACTGGTCTCGCCGTGCTAGTTGCGTGACAGACACATTCGCTGTGACCTAGGCTAGTCTTCACATGGTATGTACGCTGACTTTCTGAGTTTTATCAATTTTATTTTGCCCTGTTTGTAATCACGGTTGTAAGAATTTGATTTTTTTGCCACTAGTCTGTAATCATAATTAAGATTTTTATTTTGGCCCCTCTTTGTAATCATAATTTGGCCTATAATTCTTATTTTGGCCTCTGTTCGTTTGTAATCATAGTTGTAAGAATTTGATTTCGCCTCGTAATCATCCTTGTAAGATTTTTATTTTATTTTGGCCTGTTTGTAATCAGTTGTAAGAATTTGATTTTTGCCACTAGTCTAATCATAATTGTAAGATTTTTATTTTGGCCCCTCTTTGTAATCGTAGTGAGGCCTAGATCTATATGATTTTTATTTTGGCCTCTGTTCGTTTGTAATCATAGTTGTAAGATATTATTTTTTGCCTCTGTTGGTCTGTAATCAACACGTATTTTATCGTAAAGAGAAATGTGTTTGAAGTTAGTTTAGTTACCCACACCTAACTGTGGTGATAGGTTTATACGTTGATTAGTAACGCAAGCCCAGCTGTTTATACGTTGATTAGAATTGACACATGGTGGTGCAGCAGGCTGTGATTGCTAAATTAATTTTGTACTAATCCTACTTGGCTTGCACACATACAGCACATACACACGTTTCTACACATTAACACACATACTTAGTCTACATCTTGAACACAGTCGCCCATAACCTTATGGTTCTCATATGTTATGTGGATTAGTTCAACTTTAGAGCAGGACTTAACAGTCAACTTTATCTAGCTGTCAGTCAGGTACATCTAGATCAAATTTGTCACATACGTGAAGTATGGTGCAGCATGCCTACGTAAAGTATGGTGCAGCATGCCTACGTAAAGTATGGTGCAGCATGCCTACGTAAAGTATGGTGCAGCATGCCTACGTAAAGTATGGTGCAGCATGCCTACGTAAAGTATGGTGCAGCATGCCTACGTAAAGTATGGTGCAGCATGCCTACGTAAAGTATGGTGCAGCATGCCTACGTAAAGTATGGTGCAGCATGCCTACGTAAAGTATGGTGCAGCATGCCTACGTAAAGTATGGTGCAGCATGCCTACGTAAAGTATGGTGCAGCATGCCTACGTAAAGTATGATGCAGCACCTGTACGCGACAAGTTCTTGTGGGTGCCAGTTTGTCTGTTGTACCTGTCAGGGTGGTGACACGCCTGTCGGGACGGTGACACGCCTGTCGGGGCGGTGACACGTCTGTCGGGGCGGTGACACGTCTGTCGGGGCGGTGACACGTCTGTCGGGGCGGTGACAGCTGGCAGGTTGAACTGCCTGCAACCCACTTTTCTCTGGTGATCATCCACAGTCTGGAACCAGGGAAGGCGTCACCCTAATCAGGGTGGGAACGAAACCAGCCAGGACGAATAGATCCGAACCCACGGCAGACATCTCTAGCATCCTGTCGGCTACCCACATAGATCTAGCTCTGATTTCAGACGAGACAGTAACTATCACCCTACCCTAGCCTTGCATACTGTAATTCGGTATATCTGGAACTATAGACTTGATTTTACTAACACGGTATATCTGGAACTATATACTTGACTTTACTAACACGGTATATCTGGAACTATAGCCATGACTCTACTAACACAGTATAAGCCTGCTGTAGTATATACTGGGTACTAATATGCAGTTTTCCGATAATGGGTAGCATCATGTAGGCCCAATGAATGACCAGTCGGTACGGGCAGTGTCCTGCCCAGTGGACAGTGCCCTGCCCTGTGGACAGTGTCCTGCCCTGTGGACAGTGCCCTGCCCTGTGGACAGAGCCCTGCCCAGTGGACAGTGTCCTGCCCAGTGGACAGTGCCCTGCCCTGTGGACAGTGCCCTGCCCAGTGGACAGTGTCCTGCCCAGTGGACAGTGCCCTGCCCTGTGGACAGTGCCCTGCCCAGTGGACAGTGCCCTGCCCAGTGGACAGTGCCCTGCCCTGTGGACAGTGCCCTGCCCTGTGGACAGTGCCCTACCCAGCGGGTCTCATGCCCACATATGAACCGTGTACCTGACCTACTAACACATCTGCTTATTAAACATCGTATTAACATTGCTTTGGTGTCAGGCGTGCAATTAAGTGTAACCCAGTATTTTGCTTATCTCTCTAATGGACTTTGGTATTAATTAATTCTGTGATCATTATAATTATACTGTAGCCACACAGTCTAACACATTTAGCTCTCCAGGTCCGGTCTTGTATGTGTAGAGCTCAAATTGTGAACGTACCACTCCAGCCTAAGCCCTAGCCTGTATCTCGCGGTCAGCCATCCTCACACAAGCCCGGGTCACACCGAGGTTAGCCGCCCACACACTGATCCAGTGTCCGTCTGTACACTGGCAACTAATTCCCGCTTTAATGAGGACTAACGAAAAAGCTTATCAATACATCGAACGTTTCTATTGAGTAAACTTCATTAGTTCTCTGTGGCAGTCTTGTATGGCAGTTAATACCGTCATGCTATTGGTTGCCCAATTACCAGTTTGTTTTATACCTATGGCAATTAGTACCATTGATAGATCCCCTTATACACCAGGCACTGTTTGATATATTCCTATGGCAATCAGTACCGTTATACCACTCATAGATCACCTTATACAACAGGCACTGTTTGATATTTACCATTTGCTGCAGCTTTTCAATGAGCAGATCAATACGTTAGATTATTGATTCGTGAGTTCAGGTACAAGTTGGGTGAGTCACAATACAGGTATTTGCAAGGCTTGCATCTCCAGGATTTGCCTCCGATGAAAATGCCCTGACATGTTGTATCCTCTTGGACAGTTTCTTCCAGGCATCTCTTCGGGGGGGGGGGGGGCTTTGTCCCCCCCCCCCCCCCCCCCCGAATTTTTTTTTACCGCCCCCCCCCCCCCCCCGAACGAAATGAAATTTATATAATTTATATAGAAAATATATACTTTTAACAGTGTCCGCCGCCCCCCCCCCGAAGAAAGTTTACCGCCCCCCCCCCCCCCCCCGAAAATTTCAAGTGCCCCCCCCCCCGGAGAAAAAAGTCTGCTCTTGGACTCTTTAAACCCCCCTCTCCCACCCACCCCTTGACCACCACTACCTAAGCATCGTAACGTGGACACATGAGATATTCACTAACCAGTGTTTCAATATTCACTGAACAACCTACAGTACACCTGTAAAAATCTATAGTGTACCCCCGTCGGCCGATCAAACCACACAAATCCCATAAATGTCGAGTGCTGTAGGATAAGTTAGTTGTTTAGTGGGAGAAAGTTCGATAGAACGTACACTCGTGATCGTACTACACCTATCACTCGGCGACTTACAGCTGATATCAAACAATGTGCAGGGAGACCTATGCTGAACAAGGTTTAGTCAGTGGGCACAAGTTCGAGTCTTTCATTTTTAACTTCGTGGTAACTACTCTTGTGGAAATTTCAAGCAGGGTGGGGGATATGACTGAAAGAAACGCTGCTAGGCTCGCCGCTAGTGGACAGCGGTTTGTTCTGTTAGTCTTGTGACGTCATACAAGCCCCACCCTGTATTGTGAAGATGTAAACATGGGGTCACTGTATTTTTTTAATCGGGGGGGGGGGGGGGGGGGACATTCCCACTCAGTGTTTTCTTGTTTGGCAAAGTTTTTAAAATCTACGTACACTTATTTTATGAAAACAATGGCTGTACAAGATGCAATACAAATATCTATGTATGGCTCATTTGTATGAATTGTTGGTGTGTTATGTTGAATGACACGCAAACTTTGACCCCCATACGGCATCCGTCTTGGCAGATGATAAAACGGATGATAAAAAAGATGATAAACTTGATGAGCCGATACGGAGATGCTAGGAATTGTTTACTTAAGGAGCTTACTGGGTCGTTAATTGTTATGCTGAGTCACTCTTTAACCCCCCCCCCCCCCCCCCAACCCACCCTACATAAGCCGCGTAAAATGTGTATAGTATAGGTTGCTGGACGGACAGTTGGATTGGCAGACAGCTGCGCGGGACAAGTAAACATAGTGCTGGACTGACATCTGTCACACAGTGCTGGACTGACATCTGTCACATAGTGCTGGACTGACATCTGTCACATAGTGCTGGACTGACATCTGTCACATAGTGCTGGACTGACATCTGTCACATAGTGCTGGACTGACATCTGTCACATAGTGCTGGACTGACATCTGTCACATAGTGCTGGACTGACATCTGTCACATAGTGCTGGACTGACATCTGTCACATAGTGCTGGACTGACATCTGTCACATAGTGCTGGACTGACATCTGTCACATAGTGCTGGACTGACATCTGTCACATAGTGCTGGACTGACATCTTTATATCTTGTCACTAACTTCCGTGGCTTTGATGCTTGTATACCATCATGGGATGGGGGGGGGGGGTATTTGACCAAAAGTTCAAACTCAACAAGATGGTTATTTTTGTTAAAGGCTACAACACATTTCGACCAAATAAGATTGTCACTAAATTGTAACCCTGTCCTATAAAACATGATCTGTCACTTAGCACGGAGGTTAAAGGTTAAACCTAAATGAGGCAAAAACATGTGACCATGACGAAGCTAAAACAATAAACATTAATCAAGGATGGGGCGGGGGGGGGGGGGGGTAGAACTACATACTAGATGATACTACTTGCGAGGGGTTAAAAACAAAAGTTCAAGGTCACGAGGTTTTAAAGCAATTTAAAGCTTTTAATATCTGTACATATCAAATCTAACCAGATCTGTACCCCCACAAACCATATCCCTGTTTGACTGAAGGCTAAACCATTGGCCTACCATTGCTAGACTGAGCGCACAGAAGTTCTAGTTTTTGACCTTTGATCTTTAATCATTGAAATGTATTCCGACTATTTACTGGAACCTTTCTGGCTAGAAAGGTTGCTGGCTACAATTATAAAGTGCTAAACTCTGCTGCCCTACCATGCTCATACGTATCTGTAACTTGCTAGACGGAGAGGAAAGTTTGGCGCGACCTTGAAATGCCTGAGCTGTTGACATTTGATGTAAATAAAACGTGGTTTCTGCCACGGCTCCATCTGTAATCAGAGACTGGGGAGATAACTGTGAAAAACACGAGTGGAAAGGGGGGGGGAGAGGAGAGGAAGAGAGAGCAGTACACCTTATGTATTAAAGGAAATTTGACCAAGGGACCATGTAATAATACCTACACATTACTTTACCCCTGCAAAACATGTATTACATATTTACCTATCATTTAAATTAGTCATCCCATTTGATGGTTATTTCACTGTAGCGTCTGTCATTTATAAGCTAAAAGATATGTTGAAAACATTTAAATTAGAATTTGTATTTTTCAGTCTAACTTAGATCTAGCTGTTAAATATAATAATAATAGTAACTTAAAATAATAGGTTGGAACTATTTGTTACACTTAAAAAGTTTAAGAAAAATTATCATCTTTAATAAACCTATTTATTTTTTTCCCTCCAGAAAATGGCAGGAATTGGAGAATTGTTTATCACAAAACCAGCCCCTGAGTTTGAAGCTGAGGCTGTTGTCAATGGGGAATTTAAAAAAGTGAAGCTGGCAGACTACAGGGGAAAATATGTGGTGCTCTTTTTCTACCCATTGGATTTGTAAGTCTGATTTAGCCAAACTAAGATGACCTCTGGTCAGATAATTTTTAAAGTGAACCCATTAGATCTGATTTAGCCAAACTAAGATGACCTCTGGTCAGATAATTTTTAAAGTGAACCCATTAGATCTGATTTAGCCAAACTAAGTTGACCTCTGGTAAAGTAAAATCCACAGATTTATGACCAAGTCATACAGGTGTTGTCATATGTCCGTTCAAGACTGTTTAATTAACACATGGTTTATTGTTTGTTTCAGTACATTTGTTTGCCCCACTGAGATCATCGCCTTCAGTGATCGTGTGCAGGAATTCCGTGATATTGGATGTGAGGTGTTGGCAGCTTCTACAGATAGTGTTTTCTCACATTTAGCATGGTCAGTTTTTTTAAGTTTTAAAAATCTTGTTGGTTTATATTCAATTTTTTTAAAATTTTAATTGTACAAAATTTTGCCTGTATACTAGTAGTACTAGTTATATTAAATTTAAAATTGTTAGATTTAAAACCATCTAACTATGTGCATTATTCTAAATCCTGATATTTACCTTACATTGATGAGGACAAGGGTAGTGTTAAGATGAAGTTATCCTACGATGATGCGTTAGTACACTGCTTTAATAAATTTCATGGAGTTTAGTGAATTTTAAAGTCTAGTAGTATACAAGTTCATATCACTGCACAGGGCATGATTTGTTTTACTTGCTTTCTTGACAAACTGGAGTATTGACATGAGAAGGGATTACTCCTGTCACATTTATTGTAATTATAGAAGAAAAATGTAAGATAACTCTGTACTCTGACAGGATCAACACACCTCGCAAACAAGGTGGTCTTGGACCCATGAATATCCCAATCATTGCTGACAAAACCTGTGAAATCTCTAAGAAATACGGTTGCTTAAAGCCAGAGGAGGGCATTGCCTTCAGGTAATCACCTAGAAATTTATTTGCAATAGGAAAACGATTTTAACAGAGCATTAGAAAAAGTTTTAGTGAGCTATGTTCTTTTCTGAGTAGTTATTTTTTAAAAACTGATGTCTTGTTTCTATAGAGGCTTGTACATCATTGATGACAAAGGAATTCTCCGTCAGATAACCATTAACGACCTCCCTGTTGGAAGATCAGTTGACGAAGCGCTTCGTTTAGTTCAAGCTTTCCGTTACACAGATAAACACGGGGAAGGTGAGTCTTGGGGGTGGGGCTGTATCAAACATAGGGAAGGTTAGTCTTGGGGGTGGGGCTGTATCAAACATGGGGAAGGTTAGTCTTGGGGGTGGGGCTGTATCAAACATGGGGAAGGGAAGTCTTGGGGGTGGGGCCAAACATGGGGAAGGTAAGTCTTGGGGGTGGGGCCAAACATGGGGAAGGTTAGTCTTGGGGGTGGGGCCAAACATGGGGAAGGTTAGTCTTGGGGGTGGGGCCAAACATGGGGAAGGTTAGTCTTGGGGGTGGGGCTGTATCAAACATGGGGAAGGTAAGTCTTGGGGGTGGGGCTGTATCAAACATGGGTTAACCTATGTAGTTTGTCAGTCACCAGTTTGCCTATTGTCTGATGTTAACTGTCTGGTTTCAGTGTGCCCTGCTGGGTGGAAGCCAGGGAAAGACACAATCAAGCCTGACTCCAAGGGTATCCAAGAATACCTGAGCAAAGAAAACTAATCGCCCAAAGTTGCACGGTTTAGTCACTGAGTAATGTTAAACGCAAGTATTTTTGTATTGATGTACAACCAGTTCTAATACTTATGGTTTAGTGTTTCTGTAGGCATGTACTGAATTCTACAACCTTTTGATTGCTTTACAATTGGTTAATTTCGTAACATGACTCATAACTAAGATTTACTGCCAATATGGATTTAGGAATAAAAGGTTTTTCACTTGATCTGATGTCATTTGTTGTTCTGGTTTTGTCAGGTGTTTTGCCCAGTTGGTGTCTGATATTCATCTGGACTTTTTTATTCAAAATTAAAACTCAGACATAAATAGGAAACAACAAAGATATTCTTAAACAAATGATTTTATTTTATAAATAAAAATTTCTAGGTGAAAAAACTAAAGGTTAGTCATGAAATGGTGATATGTTTTTAAATTTACAGCAAACGAGGGGGGTATGTGGGAGCTAATGGTGGGAATCTAGAGAGGTGGCCTTGAACAAAAATCTGAGATCTAAAGACTAAAAATCAAAAGGTCAAACCACACACTTTGTACAGCAGTGATAGCAGACAAGTCTGCTCCCATTGGTTACTTTCAAATATTGGTTTGTCACCATGGATCAACGACTTTTCCATTTTAGTTTTCAAGTTCAAATGAGGGGCAAAAATGTGCCTCAAGTTTTTAAAAATCAGGCGTCCTGATTTCATAATTGAACCTTTAGAGGTCCAGAGTAAGTTGGAATGTGTAGTTTCTGTATGTACACACTTGTGGTTTGCATAGATGACTAGGAAGACGGAACAGGAAACAATGAGGTGGTGCAGACAGGAAGTTGCCAGATACAAACATGGCTGTCTGCAACACAAGTAAAACTGCTAGTAAATAGTTTCAAAAAGAGTTAACAGCAGTGAAAGATTGCATCGAAGTTTGAACACAAATTTTGTTGTTGCTGACTGGTGTCAGCTGTTTGGACGGAGGCTGCTAACAAAACATTTTGATCTCTTGCTACTTGGTGGTATTTGTGCAACATTACAGGATCATTTGGCCAACAATTGATGGGAGTTTAATCATCTATTAAGAAGTAATAACTGTTTTTTTAGTTTTTTCTTCAGGAAATGTGATACAGTAATAGTGCTCAATATTCTACATTATATACATAAACTTTACAATTCAAATTTTACAAAGAATTTCTTTTAACATTGGAAGATCTAAAGCGAAAATCACAACCTGTCAGCTCATGCTGAAGTTTCTATAAATAGCTAATAAAAGTTTATCCCCTAGTCCTGCTGTTGTGGAAAGATCTTTACAATAGGTGTCTACAGTAAGACCATCACATGTTAATACCGGGTTCTCAACTAGACAGGTAAATTCAAATACCTGGTCTGTGTGGCCACAGGTAGGACCTGGCCACTCATTGAATGCCTGCTTAAGATGTGCCTGCATGTACAGTGAGTACATCAGGCACATTGAATGCCTGCTTAAGATGTGCCTGCATGTACAGTGAGTACATCAGACAAGAGGTGAGAACAATTGGTATTTATTAGAAACCCCAGCACAGAAAGTTTTGTGGCTGGAACTAGAAGAAATACAACAGGCATGTCTGTATCCTGGGCCTGCCATGTTGGACTATTCTTTAGTTCCAGTCAGCCTTACAACGCATAGTGTGGCCACATCGTACACAGCTCAAAGTGTGGCTTGGCCACATTGTACAGTCAGCCTTCCAGCGCATAGTGTGGCTTGGCCGCATTGTACATAGCGCTTATTGTGGCCACATATTGTACAGTGTATTTTACTTGTTGTAGAGAGAGATGCAGTCATTCTGTTGGTCCCAGACTTTCAGAAGATGAATACATCTTTTAGAACATGTACACACAACCTGCGTAAGACGTACACAGTATCACAGTGTACACAAGTATGGGGTACAATAAAGAAATGAATGAACAATACTTGGGGAGGGACATGGAATGTGGCGCTGCCATCAACTAGAGCAACATTGGCAGCAGAAGATATCTGACATGAGACCAGCAGTCTGGTCAAACACAGGTCAAACAGAGGGCTAGACCATTCATCCACAAGTCCAGGCCTACGGAAGTATTGATGGGATTGGATGCGTATAAAAAAAATAACATAAATATGGGCAGGTTTTTTTTTTTTTAAAAACCCAACAGTATAAAATGTAAGAATAAAAACTGGCTCAAAACATGAGAAAATGGGTGTAAGTATAATTTCTAGCTCAGCTTGTTACCAAGATATTGCTCCTTGACATAAATAAATGGCACCATTTGAAGCAACAAGCAACGAGTTTGTGACGTAAAGAAGGCACTTTAGCAGTTTTAGACGGTGCCACTCATGGGGATCTCATAACATGATGTAAATAACATTTTAACCCTGTTAAAATTTAAAGCATTACAAAAATACCACTTTGTAGAGAACATAACCTAATGTATATATATATATATATTGTAAAAATTCATCTTTCTTATAAAGTTACCTAGAAAAATTGAAATAACTATCAACATTTACAGTACAGGAAGCTAGCCAGCTGCCATTTTTTGCCATTTGCTACCATGGAAACCTATATATGCTGTGAACTATTTGTTAAAAATAGTTTTTTAATTCTTCAATAGAAGAAACAATTAAATTTCTTAGCTTTACTAAAAAAAAAATCTACATGACAGCTTTAATTCTACACACAATACGTGTAGACTAGTTGTGTAGCAATACGTGTAGAGCTTGTGTCACCAGGACAATCTTGCACCAGGTTTGTCTCGTACACCAGTCAATTGCCTCGTCAGACACACTTTGGTGGATCAACAAAATAGAAGACATCATGTCTTAGGTTATCTGGAAGTATAAAACAAGTTCAATAATTCAGGATGATGCAGGAGTGTGTGGTCTGGTTGTTAGTGCAACCCTTGACCTGCAGAGGTCACACTAAAACCAGTACCATAGATGATCAAACATCACAGACATAATGTTTAGCTGTGGTGTTTGTTAAAAATTACCTTACCTGTTGGTGAAGAAGTATGAAACTTACCTGGTCTGACCTAGTTTACTGCCATTGAAGCTGTGAAGTATGAAGCTTACCTGGTCTGACCTAGTTTACTGCCATTGAAGCTGTGAAGTATGAAGCTTACCTGGTCTGACCTAGTTTACTGCCATTGAAGCTGTGAAGTATGAAACTTACCTGGTCTGACCTAGTTTACTGCCATTGAAGCTGTGAAGTATGAAGCTTACCTGGTCTGACCTAGTTTACTGCCATTGAAGCTGTGAAGTATGAAGCTTACCTGGTCTGACCTAGTTTACTGCCATTGAAGCTGTGACTGGTGTTGGTGAAACACTGGGTGAAGAGAGGATGGAGCAGCAGGTCTTTAGCTGACGGCCTGTCCTCTGAGTTCTGCTCCAGACATCGCAACATTAAGTCTCTTACGGGTGGCGGAAGATTTTCAGGAATGGGCGGAGAATCAACAGATGAGGCAATCTGGTAAGTTAAATAGTTGATATTTTATGAAGGAAACATTAAAGGTAATGGAATATTTTTAAAAATTGTGACAAAAAGAAATCAGGAAAATTTTGGACCATTAAGATATGGACCATTAGATTCCACCTTGAAAATGAGTGCCAGATGATTAGAGATGTCTGTAGCGTTCCATGGTGGTTTGGTCGTGGACATTTCAATCATGACACAGCCAACACTCCAGATGTCACAAGCTCGACCGTAACTCTCACCTCGCAGCACCTGGAGGGAGACAGGTAAACAGTCTTATGCAGGTACACTACAGGTGGGGGGACAGGTAAACAGCCTAATGCAGGTACACTGCAGGTGGTGGACTAGTCAGTCTTATACACAGGTACGCTATAGCCTACTACTACTGTACAAGTCTGTAACTTAATTCTGTACCATAAATTCTTTTAACACTGTACAATTCTGTAACTTACCTCTGGTGCCATAAAGTCTACCACTACTGTACAAGTCTGTGACTTACCTCTGGTGCCATGAAAGCAATCTATAACTTACCTCTGGTGCCATGAAAGCAATGTATGACTTACCTCTGGTGCCATGAAAGCAATGTATGACTTACCTCTGGTGCCATGAAAGCAATGTATGACTTACCTCTGGTGCCATGAAAGCAATGTATGACTTACCTCTGGTGCCATAAAGTCTACAACTACTGTACTACTTACCTCTGGTGCCATGAAAGCGATGGTTCCAAGCAGTTGTCCTTGAAATTCACCAGCACCTGTGGCTTGGGAGGCCAAGCGGGCAGAAGCCCCGAAATCTCCAATACGAAGTGTCTGACCAGTGCTGTCTATCAGAAGATTGGCCCCTGTGGGAGAATTTTCTTGTCTTAGTTCATTGGGTGAATGTCACATTTGTTGGCTGAATGTCACATTTGTTGTAGCCAACTAAATGTTTCAGCTTAATTTCATATGAGACCTTAAAGTTTCATTAAATTAGAGGACTAAATGTTATGTTTGATAACTAAAGATTACATAAGACTGACTAAAGGGTGCAATAGACACTAAGTAATTGTTACATCAGCCAGCTAAGAGTTACATAGGATGAAGATCAGAATCTACAAGCTTTATATTGCTCCCTAGTGTGGTCATCAGCCTCCACAGTGGTACAGGGACATCACTGTAACAACTCTCAGTTGTGTAAACATAGGCCTCATGTTACAACTCAACACTACAGTTTGCCATCAACCAGCCCATAAATGGATGAAGAAAACATGGATGAAAAAAATGTGGCTAAAAATCAAACAAACCTTTAAGATCTCTATGTAGAATGTGGTTGTCATGTAAGTATGCCAGGCCTCGCAAGATCTGTCTGGTATAGTTCACAATGACATTTTCTGTAAAAGCTCCGTATTCACCAAGCAGGTAAGCCACAGAACCTCCTGTAAGACGAGAATCTCATTAGCTCACCTCATTAGCTCACCTCATCTAGAGATTTATCAACTATTTCAGCTGATGTACAGGGAAGTTATTGCGTAATAAAACAAGTAAAAACATCGTACCAGGCATCCACTCAACAAACATATTGAAATGACATCCCTGCTTGGTGGCCCCTAAAATACGGACAATGTTTGGGTGACTAAGTCGGGCCATCATGTGAATCTCCTCGCTGATGGCCTCTATCACCTTCTCTTGTTCCTGGGCTGAGTTGCGACAAAATGAAATCTGCAAAACAAAACAGTTGAATGTGAGACAAGAGGCAGCTTGTAGTAGACAGCAGTCAACATTTTTTTTACCCCACAAAGGCTGAATAATATTAGTACACAGAATTCCATTGATCAATTTACTAGATCTGTTTTAAAATCTACTTCTGACATGTTGAAACAAAAGGTACAAACAGACATTGGATAGAAGATGTCCAACCTGCTTGACAGCCATGATGACCCCGGTCCTGACATCCCTGGCCTGGTAGCATGAACTGTACGCACCAGTACCCAGCAGTGGACCCTTGACCCAGTGAACTTTCTCCAGGTACATGGTAGGTTGCCTCCACTCACCATCTTGCTCATCACATTGCTGAAGTTAGAGAATCAATTAAAGAGTTTACAACACAATAAGTTAAACAACATCATAACCAACCAATAATGATGGTATAATTTGTAACCTGAATAAAAGAGAAGTTGCTCTGCAAACAAAATGCTTACACTGTCAGGCTGTATGCGGATGGTGATGACCTCCTCCCTGGCAGTGGGTGTAAGACCAGGGACCACTGGACATGGGTCCTGTCTCTCAGACACGTCCAAGGCTTTAGCCAAAGCTTCGGCCTCCTCCCTCTCCACCTCCTCCTTGCAGTTTTTACCGCAGTCTTCACTTTTGGAACCTGCTGAAAAGTTGGGGCAAAACTTCAATACCATCATGGAACAGAAATTAATTGGTAATTTGTGAAAACTGTAACTTTCACTTAGCACAAACTTCAAACTAACAACTCAACATATAGTTACAGTATGCTACCGTATAGCTGTGTTTCTAACAACACTACAAAAAACCACTGAAAAGCCTAGTATATAAATACATTACAAGACACAGAAACCTACCACTGTGGACGGAATGACTGGGTGAAGACTTTGGAGACTCAGCAACCTCAGATTTGAATGAGACAGGCTTCTCGCTGTCAGTCTGGGTGTTCTGGGAGAAGTCGAGGAAGTCGTCGCTGCTCATGGACTCGTGCTCAGCCGTGTGGTAGTGACTGTCTGGTGAGTTGGGGACACCCGCTGCCCCAGACTTGGGGGACGACGTCTCTTCAGTCTCACCTGTCACTGACTCATGACAGCGACACTGGCAGCAGCAGGTGGAACCTGCCAGCTTGCTGACCGGGGTGCACGTCTGATGGGTACCTTCATCAGGGCCGCAGAAGGTGACGTGGTCAGACACGCGTGAGGTGGAAGCCTGGAGAGTTTGGTACAGGTCCAGAGTTTTGCCACCGCTGTCTGTCTCTTCATTGGAATCTTTGCCATTCTCATCCAGATCTGACAGGGCCACAGGGTTGAAGATACCGGTCCCTTGAGACATGTCTGTCACAGATATCACAGGTACAACAGGGGGGAGAATAGGTGGGGTCCGGGTCATGACCCGAGACATGGGTGGGGGGGCTGACTGGGAGGACACAGAGGAGTACGTACAACCGTCAACAGTCCGCCGGCGAATAGTTGGACTTGACGAGCCTCCTCTTTTGATTTTAGAGACAGTTTCACCTTCAATTGTCCTCCTTCTCCGCGGGAGGTTGGATTTCCTTCTGTTTGGGGGACTAGAACTACCCAGCCTTCCAACACCTGAGGCATGGCCATCACCAGGTAAGATGCAGTGAGAATCAGGGACCAGGTTCTCCTTTAAGCGCTCAGATGCTGGCTTTTCAGGTGAGTTTTCTGAGGTGGGGGGAGGAGCGGGGGGATTATTGGATTCACGAAAGCTTCTGCGTGGTATAGCTCTGCGCAGCTTCCTCTTGTTGCGCAGGGTGGGGGTGTTGGGGGGCACGTTGGGGACATTACCCAGCATGGACACTGTGCTGGGCTCACCGGGTGCATCAAAGACAGGTGAGTTACAGCGTGGCGTGGAGCTGGGTGACTCAGCTGGCGTGTGACAGGGGGAGTCCAGCTTGTTGTGTTTACCTGAGCCGTGCATCAGCTCATGGACTATCCTCTCAGACAGCTGAAAATCTTCAACAATGCGATCCAGTTTCCGTCGTAGTGAAGCTACTGAGGTGGAATCAATTTGTGCCAGAAGGCCCTTTAATTCAGAGATAACCTTCTGTACGTGGGCGCCCAGCTTGGCGGAGAGGAGAAAAACCCTTCGAGACATGCGGGCTATCCTCATGTGGGTGCTGCACACCGCCTTGACGGAGAAGTGAGCCACTGACATGAGCCGGGCATAGTTTGACGCCCCGACTTCACAAGATTCACTTGTTAGTCTGGTCTCAGCAGAGCTGGCAGCTGCTCCATCCATCTCATCATCTGTGGGTTAATCAAGTAGGGGCTAATTAGGCTTAATTAGACTTATTATTCTTGTATCAAAATAGATAGTTAATCAAGTACTTTTTAGTCATGTTAACATTCCTAATTAAAATTAGTAACAATAAATCACTAACTCTTTAAACCTGTAATTTTTTCATGTTTTACCAGAATTTTTTTCCAGTCAATTTTTTCAGTAGGCTACTTCTTTGGTAAAATAACTCCGACTTATTTAACCGTTGATTTAAACCCCCAGACATTACTGATATAAATTAATAGGAAATTTAATGCCTGACACACCAATATATATTTTAAGTAGTTATTTATTTATTGAAGAAAGATAATAACTTAGTTATAAAAAAGAAAAAAAAACAAAGTTTATTTTTTTCGGCAAAAAATACACTTCAGTCGGAAAAATTAATTATAAGAATTGTTTTTCATTTGTTCTTATTCATAGGGAAAAAAGTTCGTCCATTTTTCTACAAAAATCATGGATCAGATAAGTATTGGCATACTTAATTTAATTTTGGTTAATTTTATAAATCGGCGATGTAAATGTTAACACAGTGCTCTGCAGTGTTAAAAAAAAAGCTGTTTTGCAAGTGGTTTTACACATTGTTTTTTTCTTCATAAAATACAAACTCAACCCAAGTGAAAACTACAAAAAATGGCAGCTCTAGCAATATTATGACTTAGATTTATGATTAAATAGAGGAAATTTTAACAGATGCTGGGAGCATTGTAACAGTATGGCCAGCCTGTTGACCGCTGCTACAGTCTTAAAGAATTCAAATCTTCTTGTAAATTGACCAAAAAATAACTTTTGTTTATTCTTAAGTTGAAAAAATAAATATAAAATTATTTAAAAATAAACTAAAATAATAATGCTGTTTCTAAAAGCTGTGTAGTCTTTATCTTAGCATTGCTAAAATTAAAGTAATATTTATTCAATTTGATAAATCCATATATGAATCAACGTCCAATTTCCCAGCTGGTTTGAAAATAGTGCCAGATAAATATCTGCAGAAGTGACTTACAGGCTTCAGCAGCTCCAGACCCATCCACACTCTCCTCTGGGCGAGGTAGAAAGTCAGTAGGGAACTCCTCCAGCAGTCTGTCAATAACATAGAGCCTCCCCAGCAACCACTGCCACGGCACAGTCTCAATGTCATAGTCCTCTGTCACACACTTCAGCACATAGTTCAGGCCATCTAGTCCTTCATTGCCTGGGAGGGGAGCAAACATGTTAACCAGTGGCTCAACACTAAAGATATGCATCAGTTCAATGGAAACTGAATAAAACTACTAACTGATTTTGAGAAAGTCAATAAAAAATAGTATATTGAGCCTCAATGAAGAACATAGGCTGAATTTATACTTTAGTAACCAATTACTTAGGGGTTTTGAAAAAAAAAATTTTAAATTTCATACCACAATCTCATAGTTGAAGCAAAATAAACAAACTATTATGAATTTGTTTGTTTTGCTTGTTTTGCTTATTTCTGACTTGCTATATAGGCCTACAGGACCAACTAAGAATTACTAATATTGTGAAACAGGTGGACTTTACTTGCCCAATGGACAGTCAGGTTTGAAAGGGAACTATATTTACTTTGTAATTCCTATGTTTTTTGTATCAATAAATATTAAATTTTTAAGAACTTTAGTGTGTTATGCCAAGTGGCAGAAAAAGATACTTTTAGTTTAAACATTTTGTGAAACAGTAAACAAGTATGTATACAGAATTTGGTTTTTACACTGATGAGTACTTTTAAAAGTAAAATGGTTTCAGTAGAAATCTTATAATAGCTTTACTAATATAACTACAGCAACATTAGAAGGTAAATCCAGCTAATTCTATCAGGACAAAGACCTCACCTGGGTTGATTATCTCCCTGCCAACAGCAAGTTCTCCCTCCTGACCTTTGACCAGCTCCACCAAGGTAGACAACGACAACTGACTTGTTCGCCTGGAAGAAAAGGTCAAGTTATAACTGGGATAAAAGGTACAGTATATAAGAATATAGGGTGTACACAACAAGACAAAGTTGAGCTATTACACAACAGGTTAAACAAGAAGCTCGTATTAGACAAGAGTGAAGCAACTCACCTGTTTCCATCTGTACACTTTAATATTATAGCCTCTACTATAGGCTTGAGGACAAGTTGTAATCTGTTCCTCTGTTCAGCATCTCGGCATGGTGTGTAAGATAGCAAAGTTCTAATAGCCCTCTGTAACAAACATCAACAGAGAATCAGTCTCTGAGTTAATAACTGGTAAAGTTAAGGGTCTTGGACTAATCAGACAAGACACAACCAAAAGTAGACAAGTGAAAGTTTCTATACATTTGAAGTACTTGTGTATTGGTCGTGTTGTGTGGGTGTGGGAGAAAGTGACCAATGGTTAACCATGTACCAAAATGGTAGAAATAAATACACACAAAAATTATCTGAACTGTAGAAACAAGACTATAAAAAGTAGTACAATTATAATCAAGTTTTCAGCTAATGTAAAGAGGTAACTAAATGGAAGTTAGTTTAGTTAGGCTCATTTATCAGTATTGAAATAGTAAAACTACAGTTAGGTATAGAGAAGTAGATCTATAATTAGGTCCACTTACCAGCCAGGTAATGTATAGAGTGGTAGGTCTGTAATTAGGTCCACTTACCAGGCAGGTATAGAGGGGTAGGTCTGTAATTAGGTCCACTTACCAGCCAGGTATAGAGTCATAGGACTGTAATTAGGTTCACTTACCAGCCAGGTATAGTCATAGGTCTGTAATTAGGTCCACTTACCAGCTAGGCATAGAGTGGTAGGTCTGTAATTAGGTCCACTTACCAGGCAGGTATAGAGGGGTAGGTCTATAATCACGTCCACTTACCAGCGAGGCCACAAAAACTCTGTACACCGGGTCTGCACACGTATAAGCCAAGATGTTGCAGGCTGTTTGTAGCATGTTGTGGGTAGCTGCTCGTCTGACTGGTGACACTATGACCCCTGACCTGCCCTCTCCTGTGCCCTTCAACAAGGTGGCCACGACCTCCTTGCTCAGATGCTTCAGGCCAACCTCTCTGATTGACCAGTTGCGGGACAGAAGACATGAGACCAGATCTGACCCTAGAGCCTGTGGTAACCAATAACAAACAGATCAATCACAACAGTTGGGCTAGAGCATATTAGTTACATTCTCTACATTATCACCAAGACATCACCAGCAAAAACAAACCATGTTATTTGAACTACAGTGATTTTTTTTTAAAATGAACGTTACCTCAACCCATGGGGCTGCCGTCTGCTCCAGCTCAGCAGGAATGGGTTCAGCATGTGGCAGCCTGGAACTGTCTTCCTCGTTATGGTGTGGTGACGAGGCTCGTGTGTTGGGTGGCACATCAGGTCCTTCAGTGGTACTGCCACTCTGTGTGCTGGAAGGTAACAACAGCCATGGATGTAACAAGGGACAACAGCCATCGATGTATAGAGACAACAGCCATAGATGGAACCAATGACACCAGCCATAGATGGAACCAATGACAACGGCCATATATGTAACTAGTGACTAAAGACAGATGGAACCAACAGATGTAAAACATGTCCCAAACGAAAACTATGAAATCAAACTACTACCAGTTTATAAAAAATTAATGAATAAACAAGCTATTCTAAAACAAATGATTCTCAAACCTTTTGATTTCAACTGTGGCTGATTTCCATTGGGCACGACAAAGTGGGCAGTTCAATGGGTCATTCTGTCTCCTACATTCTTCAAACCCTGGACAAAAGTTGAAAAGTTAAAAAAATGAAGCAGATTTACTGGTTCATGAAAGGGTGTGGTAATAGCTGGCTTATAAAATGGTGTGACATTAGCTTACTTATAAAATGCTAAAACAACAATCTTATAACATGGTGAAGCAATCAATTAATCAAAGGAAACTACCCTTCTGTATATAAGAACACACAACCAACAAACTTACATATTGCTATACAATGATGGTGCAGTCGATTATGGCAGCCATTTTCACAACAAATTAAACTCTCTCCCTCCAACATTTCCAACAGGCAGATTGGGCAAGTCTCTTCTTCCTCTCTCACACTTCTGATGACAACACCAAGTTGTAACAAAGTTAAAACATGACGACTACACCCAGGTTTATGTCTTAGAGGAGGCCAAACATTGTGTAAGAATTTTTAAAATAAGATAATTTAATAAACTAAAACCTGCCGCATTAAAAATCACTTTAAAGGGAAAAAACTTATCCTAACATTTACCATCATGTGAATGTTTAGTATATCTGTTATTATTTAATACATAATTTTATTTTGATCACTTAGCCCTTTGATTCCTATTGCTCAGGCTATTTTGTGAAAGATTATTACAAGAAATAACAACTGCCTTATGAAATGCAACAATTTAAGTACCCCGTGTCACTCTCTGAAGGAAGTCTGTTGTTATCTGGTGTGTCCACTACTTGCTCCCCTTCCCCTCCATAGTCCTCTTTAATAATTTCTTTCCTGCGCTGAGAAGCTGTTCGTTTTGTTATACGGGAGCTGCGCTTGTCATGGAATATACGAAATAAACTTTCAACCTGTGAAAGAAACATTTTTATTTTAGCATGACAAACATGATATTTTTTTCTTTTAATTTAGTATAATATAAGCATGTCAGACAATACAGAAGACAGTTGTTTGTCAACTTTAGCTACCTGACAGTGAGATAAGACCAATAGCAGCAATCAAACTGTTCATCTTTAATGTTCTAATAGCTGTCAGTTTAACACTGCTTGTTTAAATACCTAGGCAACGTAATACGTGCTCAGCTGGTAGGCACCACATGTAGGCACCACAGTCTATCAACATCTAACACTTTTCCGACATAGATGCACCATGGAATTATCAACTTTTATCACGTTTCCTACATGAAACTATTAATATGTACCACACCTTCATGTATTCAACATGGAACTATCAACATCTACCATGTTTCCTACATGAAACTATCGATATCTACCACATGACTCCTTCATGTATATGACATCTACATGTCATGGAACTATCCATACCTACATCTATCCACATTAGCAACTAACTCTACTAGTTAACCACGTGTGATGCTGCCTTAAGATACTCACTTCATAATTTTTGAGTGTTCTGCTCCACAGACAGGGATCGTTCTCCCCCACTTGAAAGACTCGCAGCATCACAAACAACACATGGACGCAGTGTGGGCCACGCCCGCAGCTGCAAGTCTGCAAACAAACACAGGTCACAGGTTACACAACCAGGAGAGACATTAACTTGATAAATCCTACAGGTGAACAACTTTAAAAAATATATGCGGATAGTACCTGTGGACCTATTATAACTCTGTATTTGTGATCTGGGGAATCCCCTCCTATGAGGAAAGAATTAGGCCCTGTCTGCTGAAGCAAGTATAACCTTGCTCTCTGTACACGCTCAATTCGTTTTTTGGTCACGTCTATGTTGGTCGAAACGTCACTGAGCGCACTTTGTTGAACTGTTATTCTCCGACCGGGATGGGCACTTGAACTCGAGACAGCTAGTCGAAACTATTTGTAAATAAATATACAGATATTAAACTTATGATTCTTAAAATATCTATTGAATAATTTTTTTTTAAATTTTTTAATGTAGATTTGTTATCATCTTTTCTAGTTAATGCCCAAGACACAAGGTCAGATTAAGTAGAGTAGATTTAATATATAAATAATATTGCTAAAATAATGTGAACAGAAAGTAGCCTAATTTCCACAAGTAACAAAATATGCCATTTGCTGGGTGCAAGATGGAAATGTTACTGAGGTAATTGGTGAAAGGAAAACTTACTGAGTTAGATGGTGAAAGTTTTTTCCGAGCTACAGAGTTATTTGAGTTGACAACTTGGCGTGTAAAAGCAGACTCTGTAGACCCGTGCAAACTTCCACGCCGCCTCACTGTTACAGGAATCTGGTGGCAATAAAATTCATCATCAGCACAAAAAACATTCCATTATGACTTAAAAATCAGACTTCAGGAAGCAACAAAAGAAAAAAAAAACGTGCCAAGACTTATCCAACTTAAGTCAATTATAGCAAATAATAGAAATCCTTGGGCTTAAAAAAAAATTAAGATCAAAAACTGATATTATTTATATAAAACTCTTTACTTACCTGTGATCCTTGAGTAGTTTGAATATTTGGTTGCTTGTACATCTATATTGTCAACAAAAAATAAGTTACATTTAATTAATATTTAACAATCAGATTGTTAAAACTGATCTGCTTAAACAAAGCTAAATTTTAAAAAAATTAACATTAGGCTTTAGCCTAAAATGTAATTAAATAATCATTTATCATAATGGTGTCTTACTTTATTTTAACCATTTAAGTATAGTGAATGATATAACTAGTTGTATGAGGATCTAGAAATTAAAACTTTACCCTTCTACTGTTTGATTTTTCTATGAACTCTTTGCTCCATGGAGGAATGGCAGTAGTAGAGTCTTGGTCTCCATGTATGTCAGGTGACTCGACCCCAAGGTGTTGGTCATAAGGAACTTTGGTTGGGTTACTTCTATTGCTGAATAAAGAATAAACAAGAGAACTTTGGTTGGGTTACTTCTATTGCTGAATAAAGAATAAACAAGAGAACTTTGGTTGGGTTACTTCTATTGCTGAATAAAGAATAAACAAGAGAACTTTGGTTGGGTTACTTTAAAAAGCTGCAAAGATATAAAAGATTGGCTAATTTCACTTAAATTAGGCTAATAACTAAAGAAAATAAAACTTGCAGTTATCATTAGCCTAGATATTTACTTTACGCTTTAGATCAATATTTTAAAAATTATAGGCCTATATTATTAAATTTTTCTTGGCCTATACGCTTTGCGCCACCCCTTGCACTAGTTCCCACCATACTTACCTAGCATCTGGGTGGACGAGCCTTATTACAATATTTAGAATCCGCAAGAAATACTATAATTTAAAAAAATCCCAGTTGATTTTTTTGTTTTTGACATCTACACTCTAATTACTACAACTTCAGTCAATTAAGAATAAACCTTTAAAACATTTAATGCTTTAAACTAATTAAACTTTAGGACCTTTGACCACAGGTGCTTTGACCATAGGGGGTTTGACCATAGGGGGTTTGACCACAGCGGAGCTTTGACCATAGGGGCTTTGACCATAGGGGGTTTGACCACAGCGGGCCTTTGACCATAGCGGTGCTTTGACCATAGGGGGTTTGATCATAGGGGGTTTGACCACAGGTGTTTTCTCAGCAGAGGGTCTTTGATCACAGGTGGTCTATCAACTGGTGTTTGATCACAAGCGCTGTGTCCGGCTTTGATCATAGGTGTTTTGTCCACATAGGGTCTTTGAACTCAGGTGTTTTGTCCACATAGGGTCTTTGATCTCAGGTGTTTTGTCCAATGCTGTCCATATATGGTAAGGATTTATTTTAAAAGTTGCTAAATTATATTTTAAATTTTGACATGATGTAATAATATGTTAAATCATCATGTATAAATACAAGTCATCTAAACTACTCTATGTCAAAACCATGGAGAATCTTGCACACGATTGGCGATGGTGTAGCACGAACAAATAACATTTGTGAAGGATGGCATTACAGTCTTCAGTCTCTCCTCCAATGTAGTCACCCAACAATGTGGCGTTTCCTTGATGGTCTACAGATGGACTGCACACGGCAAAAGACAACTTTCTTGCAAGGTGTCGCAGGGGCAAGCTACCCATCTGAGAAGCTATACAGAAAGCTGCACGAAAAAGTACAACGTGCTGTCTAGACATATGGTCAAACAGATGTACTGACATATTTGCGTGCTATAGCACATCTGTTATTTAGTTAACAATTTTATGTATTACATCTTTGACTATATTGTTGGCAAGTTTTGTATCATTTTTTATCCTTTATATATGCTATGTATTTTAAAGTACATCTACATTATTTATTTGTGAAACTTGTTATATGTCGCATTATTTGTGTTTCATTTATATTTAAAATAAATCTATGAGGCCTAGCACCAGCCTTTATGTGGAGACTAAAATATAGTTCTTGGCTTCTTTTAAATACATGTTAATTTCTATTAACGTACTCTCAGGAAACATGTATAAAATCGTGTTAATTGTATCACATCTATGATCAAAGCCGGACGCAGCGCTTGTGATCAAACACCAGTTGATAGACCACCTGTGATCAAAGACCCTCTGCTGAGAAAACACATGTGGTCAAACCCCCTATGGTCAAACCCCCTATGATCAAACCCCCTATGGTTAAAGCACCGCTATGGTCAAAGGCCCGCTGTGGTCAAACCACCTATGGTCAAAGCTCCGCTGTGGTCAAACCCCCTATGGTCAAACCCCCTATGGTCAAAGCACCTGTGGTCAAAGGTCCGCGCACCGCCTAAATAATATAAATAGGCCCTAAATTCTTTAGTAAATACTAACTAGAAAATCTAGATCTAAAATACTAATACAAATGTAATGGGCCAAGCTACTCAGCTAGACAATAGACATCTACTCTAATAACTCTAGGTAGATTTAATTTAATAGATACGTGACATAGGCCTACATATTACATAGACATAGTAGGCCTATTTAAAACCTCCAGCCAACTGCCGAATGCTTATAGATCTAGGTCTATATTTAACATATTAAAATAATTTGACTCACTTTTCTTCTTCTGTGGCCATGTCTTGATCACTGTCGAAATTTTGGGGGTTTTGGTTTCTCTGTTCACTTGATTCTGTCGTAACTAATTTTTTTGCTCGTTTTGTAGATGGAACATGTCGAAGAATTCGTCTCCATTTGTGTGGGCCCTGAAACGTCTCCTCATAGTTGGCACCTTTCGTGCATCCTTCGCATGTGATTGAGGGAGAAGGTTCTAAGTGAATTGTGTGGATCTCAGTTTTGGAATATTCAAATTCGGCTGAGGCAGCTGAGGTTGACACTGACGATGATTCCACAACAGGCCCAGCAGTACAAATGGAGGCCATCTTTGATGGGGGAAAAATCTTACCGTTCAAGGCCACAACATCATCTCTTTGTTCTCCGAACTTGCAGAACCCCGAACAAAATAAATCCTTTGTTACTAGTTTGAGGGCGAAAGGGGGGATCAATAAATGCTAAAATTTCCCCCCTTTCGATCTCCCAAAAGCAAAATATTGATTTTTCTCGATAGAAGTGCCGCTTCCGGTCGGGGAAGCTTCTCTGTTTTGATGGAGAATATTTTCTTAGCCTCGTTTCAGATGTCGTAATGTTCTATTTTTGGACTTCGTATTTTGACGGAAAATGTTAAAATTAATTTAATAATTAGAAATATCTAACACACATGCATTATATATTTTCATATTTCACTGTATTAATCATAATATGAATAGTATACAATAAAACTGTTTTATATTGCATAAATAAATGTTTGTCTCACAATTAATGTTCGGAGAAAATAAGTCGGAGATTTCCACAAAAGGGAATCCTTAACTTCTAGGTTTCGCGCCAGCTGATTTAAATGGAAACGAGGCAGTTGTTGTTGACAACATGGACGCCGTCTGTGTCAAAGGTTAACGCGTTTTAAGTGACAAGGGAAAAAAAACTATTGAGATAGGACAGGTGTGCCAATTTTAGGCCATCTTTTATGGTAATGTGGAGAAGCTTAAGTAAATAAGGTAAATCTTGTTATGACTTTTCCGTTTGTTTAAATAAAATCATTATCTCCTAAAATTCAATGTGTTTTATTAGATCTCAATAATATATGATAACTATTATTGGCCTTAAACTAGCTATGCAATCATTTAATGGAATCCATTAGTAAATGAAATGTATGTGTCCTGCTATTGATTTAACTGACTGTTTATTGATCTTATATACGTTGAAAACTTGTTGTTAAAAGTTAGGCCCAGTACTAGTCAAGAATCTAGATCTAAATATAAAACGTGTGATTCAGGTCTATACTCATACTGGTAAAACATTGGATATATTTTTGTTTTATAAGAGAGATAATTTTAATCCCTATAACTAAATTCACGGGATTATAATTTTTAATGTTATTACGTTTCACTTAGGATCAACGTACAGTCGTATATTTTACAGATCTAAGTTTGGTTGTAGTAACTTTTTTTTTTTAAATCTTATAATCATGTAAATTAGGTTCAGGGGCTGCGCCGAGAGTGTGCTTTAGTGTCGACATGCTGATGTTAAAAGCTATCGAATTGTGTAGTATAGTAGCTTAGTTAATTTCTGGATCTAGTTTTTTTCAATGTCTGCCAGTGTGAAATGAACAGGTCTACAGATATGTATCTTGTAATTAAAATATTTTGAAATTTAGTTGTGCTTGTTACAGAAATGTGAGGATTAGCCCCAGAACACGAACTCTCAGTAGGAGAAAAGTAGGCGTAAGAATATAATTGTCAGTACTAATTAGCCTAAATATTATGACAATTTGTATATTCTTTCCAATTGTTCAACACGCTGATTTAAAATTTACAGTTATAGATTTATTTATTTTTAAATTAAGAGCGCAGTTTAAAACAACTTCAGTGTGTTGCTACAAATTGGTAATAAAAACACAAGTTCGCGGTTTAAGGACGAACGCCAGAGGAAGGCTAGCTTGAAGATAAACCCTGAATATGGAGGGGGAAGGGAGGGAGTATTTTCACAGTGGATTTTTTTTTTTTTGCCAATTTCCATTTGTTAAAAAAAAAATTAATTAATCTGTAAGTTAATTGGAGAGTGAAGATTCCGCAGACGTGATCTGCTCACTTCTGGTTGTTGGTTAACCCGTGTCACACCTTATCACTCGATCAACTTAAAAGAACAGACTACAGTAGATCGTACACTAAATACATTCACTAAAGCACTGAAGATAAGGTTGAAAGAAGACAGATAAAACGCCCCCGAAGTTTTTAACTGCTAGCTGCTTGCTGAGAAGTGTATAGGTGCGTGTTCAAATATTGATTGTGTCAATAGGGTGCAGTTGCATGGCTGTGTCAATAGGACACATTTGCACGGCTGTTTGGACCATAGATTACACATTTGATCTGGCCAGTCTTTAGAACTGTATCTCCGCTTTCTCTGCTTCAATCGATCTGAGCTAATCAAAATATGTTTCCTATTCAGATTCAAGTGCCGGTACCCCCGTGTTGAGGGGAGGGGCGATGAAAGGAGTCATGTCCATTTAGTTGTAGATAGTTAATAACATTTGTTGCTAATGGTGTAAAGTTATCGAATAACGTTTGTTGCTTATGGTGTAAAGATATGTAAAAACGTGTGTTACTAATGGTGTAATACAACTAAAACCCGACTGAGACCCGACTGTCAGATTGTGACATCCAGGTGTGTCACTATGCCAACAGAATGTGACAATAATGTGTGTCACTTTGCCAACAGAAAGTGACATTAATGTGTGTCACTAGTACCTACATGATATATTGCTGACATATGCAGTGTTAGCCACAACTGATTGTCAGGTCTCTTTCATGTTTTGACCTCTGACACCTAATTGCTGTGACTTCTGACAGCGGCAGCCTACACGACGTCATGACGTTCATGAACAAAAACAACTCAAACCAGCCATTTTGACTTAATTCCAATGCACGCAAACAATGTTAGAAACTGGACCATCTTGTTAGCGACGTGATGAGGACGAAAATCTCGCGACCTTAGACGAACATATCTAGCGCAGACTATTAGATGCTGGGTCCTCTACTCAACGTAAAGTTAAAGAAAATATCTAACCTCTTTTTGGGTTTATTTAAATTTAATATATTTTCATCCTCTTGATACTTATCAAAATTGTTTTACATAATAAATTTCAAATTTAATTGTAAACACACACACACATCTATATTCTATATCTATCTATATATATAATTCTCTTCTGGGAGACGTTAGAAAACAAGCTGCAAGCGCGCCTTACAGTCCCCTCTCTTCCTCTCTATCGCTACCCCCCTCCCCCACCCCCTCACATGGTCTGGTGAGCTGTGGTTCACTCTAAATGTTTACATTTTACAATCATAGAGCCGGGTTTGGTGACGACTATTAGGGGCAGATAATTTAGTTTGAAACGATTTTAAACTTAGAGGAGGTAACTAAGAGGAGGCTGCTTTCACGTGGAGGGGCGGAAGGGGGGGTTTAGAGTTTTGAAGCAAATATTTTCAGTGGCAGCATTGGTACTGTCGAATTCACAAATTATGAATTACTGAAAAGTAGAAAAAACAACAACTAAATAGCGGCGTATGATACACCGCGGGTCGGCTCGTATATATATAATTTTCTACTTCGCCCAACCATGCGGTACACCACCACGCCCGCACGCCGACTCCCTAACCCTACTCCCGCCCCCCCCCCCCCCTCGCTCTCCTGGGATGCGCAACAGACCAAATCGCAATCACCTCCACCCCCACCAGTCTGGTGAGCTGTGGTTCACGCGGAATGTTTACAATCGTAGAGCCGGGTCGAATTAGTGACGGCTTTTAGGGGCAGATAATTTAGTTTTCAAACAATTTGAAACTAAGGGGAGGTAACAAGTTCTGATTGATTTTTTTCATTGTCGTCCGTAAACTGTCGTCACGGGCGACTGCTTTCACGGGGGTGGGAGGGGGGGGGGTTGTGGAAAGGGAGGGTGAGGATGTCGTCCTTCACGAGCTACTGATAGTGTTTTAGGGCAAAATATTTTCAGTCGCAGCATTGGTAGTGTCGAATTCACAAATTATGAAAAGTAGAAAATACAACAACTAAATAGCGGCGTATGTTACGCCGCGGGTCGGCTCGTTCTTATATATTTAAGCATTACGTGTCAACATGTTATGCCCATATGCCCCGTTGACACGAGCGCCACCGGCTTGTCTTTCTGGATGTGCTTCTAAAATGACAGTTGACCAAAGAACAGTCAGGGACGCCGTAGTTGTTTGATCTTGTCGTCTGTCTCGCTTCAGGTTGGTCCAAAGTCTGGTGCCACGTGCTGGACGTATTGATTGGTGCCACAACTGACAGAAACATGGCGAGCCCCAATTATCGCCTCCATTGACCGGCCGTCTGCCAGAGAAGGTGTCAAGGTCAAGCGGATACTGTCCCCGTGGCGCGCGCACGCCGTTACCATGACAACCAGGTCCCTGATGGCGCTGACCTATGCCAACCACCACACCAACACAGTGCTGAACAAACAGGCCAAGGTGAGTACACCATTCCTTACACGTGTTGCTGACCTACATCAAGGTGAGTACATCATTCCTTGCACGTGTTGCTGACCTACATCAAGGTGAGTACATCATTCCTTACACGTGTTGCTGACCTACAATACGGTGAGTTCACCATTCCTTGCACGTGTTGCTGACCTACATCAAGGTGAGCACACCATTCCTTGCACGTGTTGCTGACCTTCATCAAGATGAGTACATCATTCCTTACACGTGTTGCTGACCTACAATACGGTGAGTTCACCATTCCTTGCACGTGTTGCTGACCTACATCAAGGTGAGTACACCATTCCTTACACGTGTTGTTGACCTACATCAAGGTGAGTACACCATTCCTTGCACGTGTTGCTGACCTACATCAAGGTGAGTACACCATTCCTTGCACGTGTTGCTGACCTACATCAAGGTGAGTACACCGTTCATTGCACGTGTTGCTGACCTACATCAAGATGAGTACACCATTCCTTGCACGTGTTGCTGACCTACAATACGGTGAGTACACCATTCCTTGCACGTGTTGCTGACCTACAATACGGTGAGTACACCATTCCTTGCACGTGTTGCTGACCTACATCAAGATGAGTACACCATTCCTTGCACGTGTTGCTGACCTACAATACGGTGAGTACACCATTCCTTGCACGTGCTGCAGACACACACAGTAAGATCAGTAAGATGTTTTGATGTTGTGTGTAGCCGTAATGTCGTTGAATGTAGCAATGATGTCAGGTTTGATTGTAGCTTGACAGTATACTTCTGATTGACTTGGGTGTGACAGTATATTTCTGATTGACTTGGGTGTGACAGTATATTTCTGATTGACTCGGGCGTGACAGTAAATTTCTGATTGACAGACCATTGTCTACAGCCAACAATCTTACCATTGCAAATTCCATGTATTTTTTGTCTAATTACACACATAGTTCACTGTAGCTCTCTATTATATGCTTTACATAAGGGAAACAACCCAGACTTAATGATCAGGTAACGGCTAGTAAAATAATGGTTAAATGAGAAGTGCATGTTGATAGAAAATGCTTTTTTTATTGTCTAAAATTTAAGTTAAGCAGGAGTAATGAGTACGTAAGAAGAAACAGACCAGACAAATAAAAAATTTACAATCACAGGTTTATCATGGACAACAGTAGGCCTACACCTAGCACAGCAATGGCTGATTAATTTTCCTCTACCAACCAGTAGCCTCCCTTTACTAGTCGTTATAAGTGTCAAAATCACAGTCAACCAAACCAGTGCTAGCAGCATGACAACACAAATTCCCGTAGTGTGTCAGTGAGTGACAAGTCTATGGACAGCAAGACATCAACGACACCATACACAATCACATTCACGCAAGACATCAACGACACCATACACAATCACATTCACATGCAAGATTGCAATGCCGTGATCGTGTCACCAAACAACTCATTAATTAAAATGCAAATGAACTGCAGTTACCAACAAACTTTCGATGACTTCTCGACAGCCCAGCTTTTTGTGCTAGGTTGGAAGTCTAGACAAATCTTTTCTCCCCGTGGGTCTGGCTTCCATAGATCTGTGCCTGTAGATTTGCTGTAGAAGAATGGCGTGTTCCCCACCTAGACTGAAGTTCGTGCCGCGCTGCGCGACTAACGCCATTAAAAAATGGCGAGACCGAGGCTCCATTCAGTATATCCGTTAGTTTTGTTCCCGCGCATAATGCAGACGGCAAAGTGCCGTCACATAGGTGAAGCGAGTTACGTTTAATTAAAGATTTTTTTTATTATCATGTAAAGTGGGATTCGGTTGTTTGGAGGGTCTGAATATTTTGGAATTTCGAAAGTCTAAAAATGACGTTGTGCCGGGACAACAAACAGGTGTCACATTCTGCAGCCGATAAGATCTGACGAAAGCATGTACCGGTCTTACTTAAGTAGCCTGATCAAGTAAGTAACGGACTGGTGTAAGGTCTCGTATGGATGACTGCAGTATATGACTGGAGCCGATGACTGTAAATGAGTAAGACTGAAGTGGGGATTGAATGACAAGGTTCGAATGTCACAGTTGACAGATTTATTCGGTTTTTTCTTACTTTGATGTAGGCCACTCTTCTGTTTCTGGAGGATTTATTCCCCTTGTGTTTCCTTTCGTGGATCGTGTGGTGGTCATAGCAGATTAGCATTTTTAGTTTCGTTTTTTTAGTTTCTCCAACAATATGTGAGTTTATGCAACATTATGTTAGTTTCTTCAACGTTATGTTAGTTTCTACAACATTATGTTATTTTATGTAACATTATGTTATGAAACAATTTGTCAGTTTTCAGCAGTCACGTGATGTAGTTTTGGTTTCACATAGCCGGTGACGTCGCTAGGTCGGGTGTCACCCTGTGCGGCATCTCATGGTGTCACCCCCCCCCCCTCCTCTCATTTGCCTTATGACGTTTACTTGTGCGAACATCATATTAACCCTCCTATTAATGCATATGTAAAAAGGCATCGTTTTCACAGTAATTGTTTTATATTTGGTGTCACCCCCTCCGCGATCGTTAATCGACTTGACGGGATCGTCATTTAGTACTTAAAGCTGTTTTTTTTAACTCTAATTAATAATTAATTGAACTGCAAAAAGCATTTTTCTTCTGTATATTTGGCAATTTTGCCTTGGTGTCACCCCCTAAATGGTGTTACCCGGTGCGGTCCGCAACCCCGCCTACGACGCTTCTGCCTACGTGTATTTCGTGTTGTAAGATATGTTGATGTTCGTTTTTAGCTGCTGCGGGAATGATAACATGTTAGACACACAAAACCAGTTTCTTTTACAAGTGCCCACCCCAACAAAACAATAACTGAAAGAAACCCTGCAGTCAATTAAATAACACAATAAGTGTGAATGTTCAGTTCTTGAGTAACAAATTATCATTTGTTGTTCTAATCTCTTTGTTAGAACAAACAGTAGAAACCTCTTTAGTTTCGGTTTAAATAGTTCGATTATGGCTTCTGGAAGATTAGTGTTCTTTAGTTTCTGTCCAAATGGTTCGATTATGGCCCCTAGAAGATTAGTGTTCTTTAGTTTCTGTTTAAATGGTTCGATTATGGCCCCTAGAAGATTAGTGTTCTTTAGTTTCTGTTTAAATGGTTCGATTATGGCTTCTGGAAGATTAGTGTTCTTTAGTTTCTGTCCAAATGGTTCGATTATGGCTTCTGGAAGATTAGTGTTCTTTAGTTTCTGTTCAAATGGTTCGATTATGGCCTCTGGAAGATTAGTGTTCTTTAGTTTATGTCCAAATGGTTCGATTATGGCCTCTGGAAGATTAGTGTTCTTTAGTTTATGTCCAAATGGTTCGATTATGGCATGGCCTCTGGAAGATTAGTGTTCTTTAGTTTCTGTCCAAATGGTTCGATTATGGCCTCTGGAAGATTAGTGTTCTTTAGTTTATGTCCAAATGGTTCGATTATGGCATGGCCCCTAGAAGATTAGTGTTCTTTAGTTTCTGTCAAAATGGTTCGATTATGGCTTCTGGAAGATTAGTGTTCTTTAGTTTCTGTCCAAATGGTTCGATTATGGCCTCTGGAAGATTAGTGTTCTTTAGTTTATGTCCAAATGGTTCGATTATGGCATGGCCCCTAGAAGATTAGTGTTCTTTAGTTTCTGTCCAAATGGTTCGATTATGGCTTCTGGAAGATTAGTGTTCTTTAGTTTCTGTCCAAATGGTTCGATTATGGCCTCTGGAAGATTAGTGTTCTTTAGTTTCGGTTTAAATGGTTCGATTATGGCTTCTGGAAGATTAGTGTTCTTTAGTTTCGGTTTAAATGGTTCGATTATGGCTTCTGGAAGATTAGTGTTCTTTAGTTTCTGTTCAAATGGTTCGATTATGGCTTCTGGAAGATTAGTGTTCTTTAGTTTCTGTTCAAATGGTTCGATTATGGCTTCTGGAAGATTAGTGTTCTTTAGTTTATGTCCAAATGGTTCGATTATGGCTTCTCGAAGATTAGTGTTCTTTAGTTTATGTCCAAATGGTTCGATTATTGCTTCTGGAAGATTAGTGTTCTTAAGTTTCTGTCCAAATGGTTCGATTATGGCTTCTGGAAGATTAGTGTTCTGTAGTTTCTGTCCAAATGGTTCGATTATGGCCTCTGGAAGATTAGTGTTCTTTAGTTTCTATCCAAATGGTTCGATTATGGCCTCTGGAAGATTAGTGTTCTTTAGTTTCTATCCAAATGGTTCGATTATGGCTTCTGGAAGATTAGTGTTCTTTAGTTTCTGTCCAAATGGTTCGATTATGGCTTCTGGAAGATTACAGTATTTTTCTTTGCTTGGATACCACTCATCGATTATTTCGATTACGGCTGAACGGGTTAAACTTGAGTACCCAATTATACTTATCGAGATTATCATAAAGGTTATTCAGTAAAACGCTGCAACGTTGTATAAGACTTGCGAGAAAGCGAGAGTCTCACCGTGCGTTGATTAAAGGTCGACGTAGCCTAACTCAGGCTGGGTTTTTATACAGCCTTTAGATTAGGCTATCAGCATTTAAAAAATACTTGAGTTTATGGTTTCTTATACCTGCGATTTACATAGCCCATAGGCTAACATTGTTTACACTAAACATAGGAGGTTAACATTCTATTTTCTAAACTAGCTTTACATAGCTTGGAAAAATCCTGTTTGAACAGAAATACAACCTATGTATTATTTTAATCATAGAGGGATTATTCGAGTGGGGTAAACATTAAAGTATTACAAATATCGGGCCGTTGACTTCCAAATGTAACACTGAACCCTTACTCTTTGGAAATCGTGCACATGCTAGGGTCGGGGTAGTTTGTTGTACTGTGTTTTATCAGGTAGGTGAGGTTATAGATCAATGTTATATAAAATCTAGACTTATTTGATATACCTATAATTGTCCCAATTCTTTCTGTCTGATGTCAAAACCCCGTGCCTCATGTGCATAAAATTAGTTAGAACAATATTTGGAGCAACTGGTAATTGATATAAAACAATTTTGGTCAATACTTGAAGTCATGGTTACTTTAAATTAAACTTGCGCTTCTCTGTTCAAAAGTCTCGTCGGTAGCCCATATGGCGAGATTCAAACGTAGCCATTCCATTCTATTTTTCTAGCCGTCGTTACGCCTTCTTTAATACTTTCCTTTACACATAATATACACATCACGAGTTTGTATTTAGGAGTGCCGATTTATTTTAAATCAATGCTGCACCAGTATAAAGTCATCAAACAATAAAATGTCTATTCAGGGAAGTTTCCAACAATGTATGTTATAGTAGGCCTACTGCTACTCTCTATGTGATACCGCCTTCTCGTCTGCTAACCTGTCAAGTGCGCTAACCCACTCGGGCGACACTTCCGGTTTCATGTTGTAATTACAACATTTATTTGTTTTCTCAAGTTCTCGGATTAAAAAGTCCCCCTATCCTAATCACAGTCCTGCAAAAAAAAAAAAAAAAAATTAAAGAAAAAAAAACTTGAAACCATTGAGTAAGAGGGGAGATAACGAGACAAACCAGAGGGCGCCCACTACTGACAGGTAGTGGTGGAGTACGCAGTTGTGCTGTCAGTGTTTAGGCTGGCGTTTGTCTCAGTGACGTAAGTAGATGACTCTTATTTCCATCTGACTTTTATGTGTAGCAGTAATTGTCCACTAAAATTCAGAACTTATTTTGCTGAAGATTCTTAGATCATCAAATGCAGATAGAGCAAAGTAGGTAATTTATACCCCTTAGGAAAAAAAAAACACCTTCAAGTCGGAAACCGTTTATTTTTACGTTAAAGCAATCTTTATTATAGATCTAACCTCTAAGGTTAATAATATAATCCAGACACAAAATCAAAACGTTTTACTTTCATCTCAGTAATCGAACAATCGGGAATTAAACAATCGATTATCTTTGGGGTATTCGCTCTGTTTAGCCTAATTTGAATAATTAAAGTGACGACCCAGTAGAATGTGATTGTTCATTAACACAGTGGGTTCAATTGTAAACATGTTGGTCAGGCTTGTTGCGACACCCACCACAAGTTTATGAAGCGACAGCAACGGTAACGGCATTTAACGAACTCACCAATCCTGAACTCAATGGTGGATCTCTGTTGGAGAAGGACATTGTAAAACATGTAAACTCAAATTAGGTGGGCAATAGATAGAACAACACAATCTACCTGCGGTTAGGTTGACCTTTTTCTGATTGGTTTACTGTTAGAGACGTCTTATGCTAACCTAGCCATATTTTTAATTGAGATGTCTATACAATGTTAGGTACTCTCTGAGCGAGTTAAAGATGCCCGTATAAGGCAACCCTCCCCCACCCCAGCGTGCCTTGCGTGATACTCCTTCACCCCCACCCCACTCCTGTACATCTCGGCGCCTGTTTCTTCACAACGAATTAAAAATTGATTCCCCAACTGCCAGACCTCCTACAAGTTCAATCCTCTGCCCATTTGGTGTGTTACATTTGTGTGACTCGTAGAAGTGGTTTTTGTGTGGGTTTTTTTTTTTTTTTTTGGGGGGGGGGGGGGGGGGGTTGGGTCCATCTCTGCCCGTTTGGTGTGTTCCAGTTATGTGACTCAGTGGGTTTTGTGTGGGTTTATCATGGCCCATCTCTCCATCTCCCTCACCCCCCCCCCAGCCACCTACACACACCCTCTATGTATATCTGCTCTGTGTTTGGTCCCTCTAAGCTGTCCCTCTCTACCAGATATTGAAGCAACAGAGACAAAGATATTCACCAGCTTTTTAACGATGACTTGATTCAATGACTAAGTTGGGATTATCGGTAACAATCTAACATACTCTTTATATAGACTAATTAATCAGAACGTCCAATTGATCAGAACGAGTTTAATCAGAACCAATTAACCTTTTCCTGAGAACTCAAGAATTGTTATGAAGTTTTCTGATAAATCCTAATGCTATTTCTCCCGTCCCCACCCCTCACCCCACCCAAAACCCACGCACCCATTACCCCCCACTCATAGTAGGTCGTATATTTTCTTTTAATTTGACTAACACCCTTTCTGGGATCAGGTAGGTTTTGGTAGGTTTTGGCAGTGCTGGGCGGATCTCAATCTGTTGGTAAACCGTAAACCTGATTTATTTCATACTCTGTTGGACAATTTTAGGCATCCTAGTAAATGCCTAAACATGCTATAGAATGCCGTCACGTTGCCATGTATAATAGGCAGTCAAGGGGTAATTGATTAGGGAGGGTAATGACGGGGGGGGGGGGGGTATTGACAGGGGTTTAACTCTCAACCTGCCCCCCCCCCTCCATGCCACCACCGCCCACCCCTAACACCAGCCACCCCTAACACCAGCCACCTTTACCTGCCACTTACCCCCCCCCCCCCCCCCCATCAACCATGTCAACGTGGGCTGGTCCTGTACGACGCGTCCTAATTTCCCCACCAACAAATCAATATGATGCTTCATGTCAAGGTATCAGAGATCTCGTTAGATCTCGTTAGATGTCAGAGATCTTTATAAATATCCGCTATCTCGTTAAATATCATTAATGTCGTTAGATATCATTAAATGTCAGTAGAGATCTCATGAGATGTCATTAGATGTCAGATATATCATTAGATGTCATGAGGTGTCAGATATCTTATTAGACGTCATAAGATGTCAGATAGAGAAACCATCTGCTTCTGTTTTTGACAGGGCTAAAAACATCTTCTGGTGGTAGGGTGAGGTAGTAGCTGGATAGTTGGTAGCTCAAGGGACATTCACACTCACAGACAGCTTTGTTAGAGGACATTCACAGACAGCTTTGTTAGAGGACATTCACAGACAGCTTTGTTAGAGGACATTCACAGACAGCTTTGTTAGAGGACATTCACAGACAGCTTTGTTAGAGGACATTCACAGACAGCTTTGTTAGAGGACATTCACAGACAGCTTTGTTAGAGGACATTCACAGACAGCTTTGTTAGAGGACATTCACAGACAGCTTTGTTAGAGGACATTCACAGACAGCTTTGTTAGAGGACATTCACAGACAGCTTTATTAGAGGACATTCACAGACAGCTTTGTTAGAGGACATTCACAGACAGCTTTATTAGAGGACATACACAGACAGCTTAGTTAACAGTCCCATAAACTTTCTCTTGACTATGTACTTACATTTTTAGAGCTACTATGGCGTCAATGTTTTAGATAAGAACCACTGTGCCTATAGTTGTCTTTCGACTAAAACAATACCCTGTATTAGGAAGAGGTTGGGGGGGGGGGGTGGCATAGTCAGTAAACAAAGTATAGATTGAGAGGTGATGGATTGCCCTATCGAAACTTAAGAGAAAATATTTCCTGGAATGAGGTCTCGCTATCGTAAAAAATTCTCAAACGCTCTAATGATAAATTGCTGGTGATACAAGCAAGCGTTAGAGGAATTTGTATTTGATGTGTTGGGTGTAGGTTTTGTAAAGGTCGTTGTGTAGGTTTTGTATAGGTTGTGTGTAAGTTGTGTGTAGGTTGTGTGTAGGTTGTGTGTAAGTTGTGTGTAGGTTGTGTGTAAGTTGTGTGTAGGTTGTGTGTAGGTTGTGTGTAGGTTGTGTGTAGGTTGTGTGTAAGTTGTGTGTAGGTTGTGTGTAAGTTGTGTGTAGGTTGTGTGACACAGAAAACACTGGAGTAATCTCGAAACCATTAGTTAACGGACAAACAACCGTGTACAGCCACAGCAACGCTGGGTGTAGCCCAACAACGGTTAGACCATCTTAACACCGTGTACAGCAACAGCACAGCTATTCGACAATCTCAGCGCTGGGGACAGTTTGTAAGCCTGGTCTGACCCTCTCAGTGCTGGGGACAGTTTGTGGCCTGACCATCGCTGGGGACAGTTTGTAAGCAGAGTTTCTTCCAGGCATCTCTTATGGGGGGCAAAGCCCCCCCCCCCCCCGAAATTTTTTTTACCGCCCCCCCCCCCCCGAACGAAATGAAATTTATATAATTTATATAGTAGAAAATATATACGTTTAACAGTGTCCGCCCGTCCGCCCCCCCCCCCCCCCGAGGAAAGTCTACCGCCCCCCCCCCCCGAAAATTTCAAGTGCCCCCCCCCCCCCGGAGAAAAAAGTCTGGAAGAAACACTGTTTGTAAGCCTTGTCTGACCAACGCTGGGGACAGTTTGTGGTCTGACCAGCGCTGGGGACAGTTTGTAAGCCTGGTCTGACCATCTCAGCGCTGGGGACAGTTTGTAAGCCTGGTCTGACCATCTCAGCGCTGGGGACAGTTTGTAAGCCTGGCCTGACCATCTCAGCGCTGGGGACAGTTTGTAAGCCTGGCCTGACCATCTCAGCGCTGGGGACAGTTTGTAAGCCTGGTCTGACCATCTCAGCGCTGGGGACAGTTTGTAAGCCTGGCCTGACCATCTCAGCGCTGGGGACAGTTTGTAAGCCTGGCCTGACCATCTCAGCGCTGGGGACAGTTTGTAAGCCTGGTCTGACCATCTCAGCGCTGGGGACAGTTTGTAAGCCTGGCCTGACCATCTCAGCGCTGGGGACAGTTTGTAAGCCTGGCCTGACCATCTCAGTGCTGGGGACAGTTTGTAAGCCTGGTCTGACCAACATCTTTCCCTTACAGAACCGGCCTCTGGGGGACATCGAACAACGCCTGAACTACACACCTGCCCAGCCTGTGTTGTCCTGTAGGACAGTGGCCATTGACCTCAATGGAACACGGACCTACCGGCCAAAGTCGTCAGAAGACATCCTAGAGGAGCAGCAGAAGTTGATCAGAACTATCTACAGCAGACAAGAGTACGTTTTAACACGATTACCTCCCCTTCGGACTAAATTAGTATTAGTTAATAATCTATATATAGGCCTATATAATTCTCTTCTGGGAGCCGTTAGAAAACAAGCTGCAAGCGCCTCCTTGCAGTCCCCTCTCTTTCTCTCTATCACTATCACTACCACCCCCACCCCCACATTGTCTGGTGAGTTGTGGTCACGCTAAATGTTTACAAAGCTAAATGTTTACAAATCGTAGAGCCGGGTTTCTATTAGGGGCAGATAATTTAGTTCGATTTTAAACTTACAGGAGGTAACTAAGAAATAACTAAGAGGAGGCTGCTTTCACGGTGGGGGGGGGGGTGTAGTGTCGGGGTTAGGGGAAAGGGGGGGGGGGTTAGTGTTTTAAAGCAAATATTTTCAGTGGCAGCATTGGTACTGTCAAATTCACAAATTATGAATTACTGAAAAGTAGAAAATAAAACAACTAAATAGCGGCGTATGATACGCTGCGGGTCGGCTCGTTAATAATATTATTATTAATATTGTAACTATTTTATTTTAGGTAACATTTTTATGAATAAATTTATAATTGGCCCTAGTAACCTTTACTGTTTATATCCCTTATTTTGTCTATTAATTTATCTCATGTTTAAAATAATCTCATTTAGTTTATTCTGTAAAAAAATTGATTAAAGTGTTTTCCATGTCCTTCAACTTAGGAGCACAAGCCCCACGTCTGCTAGAAATATCTCAAGTACCCGGGCAAAAATCCGACCCTCATCAGAACCTGGACACCCAAGAATTAACAGTAGGTTGACATTTGCTGAAGCATCATTTTTAGCCTAGGGTACAGTCCATTTATACAACCCCTCTGTCCTAAATGGACTCTTCCATTAATTGTGGAGGGGGATATTATGTTGTTTGTAGTAAAATTCTAGTTTAGAGAAAGCTAGTGTTGGCTTCAGTTTATGATATTAGTTATTATTTTACTGCAAACTAAGCCACACCTATTTTTTTTAAGTGTTACAGAATCTGTCTTTGGCGTAAAAAAAATTCTTGACTTAGCGTATTTCTGTTAACTGTAAGAACACATTTCACAAGACAGTGAAACCAATATAAGACATGTTCAGTTTTCTTACCTGTTGTCTCTAAATACATGAATAGAAGTCTATATCCAGTGGTGCAAACTTGATCCAAATGTTATTCATCAGTTGAGGTGAAAGGTCGACCTGTCACAGCACGAACTTATGGTCTGTCTCCTAGAGTCAACAAAACACCTGTGCTCTCACCTAGGAGGTCAAAGTCAGGTAAGATGTGTAATTGTTGTATGAGGTGAGATAAGTAATTGTTGTATCAGGTGAGATAAGTAATTGTTGTATCAGGTGAGATGTGTAATTGTTGTATGAGGTGAGATGTGTAATGTTGTATCAGGTGAGATGTGTAATTGTTGTATCAGGTGAGATGTGTAATTGTTGTATGAGGTGAGATGTGTAATTGTTGTATCAGGTGAGATAAGTAATTGTTGTATCAGGTGAGATGTGTAATTGTTGTATGAGGTGAGATGTGTAATTGTTGTATCAGGTGAGATGTGTAATTGTTGTATGAGGTGAGATGTGTAATTGTTGTATCAGGTGAGATGTGTAATTGTTGTATCAGGTGAGATGTGTAATTGTTGTATGAGGTGAGATGTGTAATTGTTGTATCAGGTGAGATGTGTAATTGTTGTATCAGGTGAGAATTATAAATTATTGTATAAAACATAAAGTAAACCACAGCTATCAACCAAATACATAGTGATATTATTTTGTCAAAGTTTAAACCTATTTAAGTTCATTTTGTTGTGATCATTTGAAGCAATAATTTGCATTGACTCTTTTTCTTTACTATTCTCTCTTTAAAATGTTTAAGTTACATTATATATCTAACCACTGAAATAATATTACTAACAGAAAAGAATTTAGCTTTAAGAATTGTTTATTTGCCGAATTCTATCAAGCACAATGTTAGCGTATGTAAACATCTTTAAAAATCTCATCTTTGCTGTCTAGTGAGGCTGTCTAAGGTCAGACCAGCGACCGATTGTTTCATGGTCATCCACACTGACCAGGACATCCTGAGCCACAGCAAGAGCAACAAGGTGCTGACCAATCAGCTGCGATCCTACTGGAGCTCGGAGACCAATCATCTGGCGCAAGGCGTCTTTATGAGAGGTCAGAGACGGCCTGATGATGTCCCTCCAACCTTAGAGGCCTGGTTGACCTTCGGAGGAGCTGGGAGGGGAGATGGTGTCATTGACGCTTTTGCAAGTAAGTAGAACTTAACTCTTGGTTGGGGATCACAGTTTAGTCTTTAAGTAGAGAGTTTGATCTAGTAGATGATCAAACTTTCTTCTCTTTGCCCAGTGAAGCTTAGGCCTTTTACAACATCCTCCAAGCTTTTCTGTCCTTCACTATTTTATGATCAATCTTTAGACAAAGACAAAGCTAGGTAAAAATTGTTAATATAGATAAAAGATTACAGATTGACATATCTAGGTAAAAGATTTTTTAAGCTTTATGCTAAAAGTTATAGGAAAAAATTCTTTTAAGATTTCAGGAGGGTGACATAAAAACATGAGGGCTGTCAGAGTTAGAGTAGACAACTTAGAGAGATGGGGGGGATGTTATAGTTAAGGTTAGGGCAAGACATGCTTTTAAACACAGTGCACAAATCATGCTATGAAGACTGTAACCAATTCTTTGCTGCTTAGTTGCAAGAAATCAGCAGCTCACTAAGTAAAAAAAAACATTTTCGGACAGAACTTATTAATTTGGAACAGAAAATCTAGAGCGTTAATGTTTTGAGATTTGAACCACCAGGTTTTAAAGGTGCGGAAGAGTACTACAACATAGAAGGTACTGTAGGGAACACAGTGGCACAACAGCTACAGAAAGGGGGCGCTGTCAGGATAGGAATCAATGGGGATCTTCTCTCTCAAGATTTGAAGGTAGGAAACTTTTCAGACTTTATGGTAGGAAACTTTTCAGACTTTATGGTAGGAAACTTTTCAGACTTTATGGTAGGAAACTTTTCAGACTTTATGGTAGGAAACTTGTCAGACTTTATGGTAGGAAACTTATCTGAGTTGTTGGTAGGAAACTTGTCAGACTTTATGGTAGGAAACTTTTCAGACTTTATGGTAGGAAACTTTTCAGACTTTATGGTAGGAAACTTATCTGAGTTGTTGGTAGGAAACTTGTCAGACTTTATGGTAGGAAACTTTTCAGACTTTATGGTAGGAAACTTTTCAGACTTTATGGTAGGAAACTTTTCAGACTTTATGGTAGGAAACTTTTCAGACTTTATGGTAGGAAACTTTTCAGACTTTATGGTAGGAAACTTCTCATTTTGAATAAAACCTGTTTAATCTGGGTGTATTACCTTTAAACACATTAATCTTATTGTATGACAGCTTTAGTTAATTTATTGTTTAGCCTCCGTGCATGCCTAAATAAAATTATCATCATCAGGTCAGAAAGAGATCACAGGAACAAAAAAAAGAAAGTTCAGTTGAAGATGATTTTCAGGATTTCATGTAAATATTTTTTGTCCCTTTGTACTTGAACTTTAAATTTCTTAGCATTAGAATCAGTGGCGTAGCGAGGTCGGGTGTCACCTGGTGCGGCACTTAATGGTGTCACCCCCCAGAGGCGTAGCGACCCTTCCCGGGGACAAACTTTCAATTTTCGATTTGCACCCCCCACCCTCAAACTTTTGATTTGCACCTCTTAAAAGACTATTTAACACTCGAATTAATCACTTAATTAAGTGGAATTATAATTTTCTCTACATATTTTGCTATTTTTTGCCTTGGTGTCACCCCCCTAAATGGTATCACCCGTGTGCGGTCCGCACTACCCGCCCCCCCTCGCTACGTCACTGATTAGACTAGATTACAAATTTTGTTGATTTCTTTAACTAAAAAAACATTTTTAAGAAGAAAACAGTTTTGTACAAAATGCCAAAATATTCTTAAAAGATTTTACTTAATGTAGGTTGAATACACTGGACCAACAGAGAGAAAACATGGACAACATGCAAACTGGCAAGTCTGGTACTACCACACCCAGTGGCCAGGAAAACAAAACTTCTGCTGCACCAATTCCTCTAAGCTGGGATGATCAGTGCTCAAAACCAGATGTAAAGATCATCCGTCCAGTGACATCTGCTGGACAAGTTCTCGTGCCGGTGGGGACAATTTTTCTAAACTTTAAAAAAAATTTTGTTGAAAACTTTAGGAAGACTAGAAAGGAATTTTTCTGAAGGAAAGTTTAGGAAAATTAGAAAGAGCTATAACTTTGTGTTGTTTTTTTTTTAATTTATTTCAACTTAGCTTATAAATTTGGTATTCATTTATTTATTAATAATTTATTTTTCTACGTTGGTAAAGGTGATGTCTGAGACCATTCCCGTTAAGTTTGAAAAATTGATCAATCGAAATTTAAAACCCCAGCAGACAACAAACCAGACTGAGGGATATCGCATTAAACAGAGATCTAATGTAAATAAAATTTGTACGAACTTTAGATCTAATGTAAATTAAAAATTTTACGAACTTTAGATCTAATGTAAATAAAATTTTGACAAACTTTAGATCAGAGATCCAATGTAAATAAAATCTTGACACCATAAACTTTAGATCAGAGTTCTAATGTAAATAAAATCTTGACAAACTTTATATCAGAGATCTAATATAAATAAAATCATGACACTAAACTTTAGATCAGACATTCAATGTAAATAAAATCTTGACACTATAAACTTTAGATCAGAGATCTAATGTAAATAAAATCTTGATACTGTACACTTTACCTAAGAAAGAATTTCATCAATTATTTATCATGATCTGAATAGTCCAATATGTAAAGTTTTTTCTTCTTTCAGCGAGCCAGCTCTGCCAAGGTGAAGGTCGTTTACATAGATCCTCTTACCAAAGAGGATGATGAAAAACTGAATGGAATGTCCGTGGAAGAAATTGTCAACTTCAAACTGGACAAACTTAACATAGATAACACAGCCATCTCTATACACCAAAGCCTGCATGGACACAACAGCAGCGTACCTACGGTTAGTGACCCCAGCACAGGTCATGACCCACACATGGGTCAGCCTCCAAGCCCACGTACTATCAAAAACGGCACCAAGACCAGTCGGCCCAATTCAAACACAAGTCAGAAAAGTGAGAGGACTGCCAGCCCCAGGATGAAAACTGTCCCTGTGCACCCGTCCAAGCTGCAACCTCCCCCCACCAACCTCAGTATTGTGGCCAACGGGGCCCATCAGCCAGCCAATGAGCCAACAAAACCCACAACTGAGCCGACAAAACCCACCAAACCACATGGTAAACTCAGCCCGTCAAAACCACTTCACCGCACTGGCCTGGGGGTCGCCATGAAAACACCCCCCACCCTAGTGGACGCGGAGTTCATCACCATCACCTCCCAGATCAGGGCCGCCCCAGGGAGCCTCACCTCCCCCGCCCCAGGGAGCCTCACCTCCCCCAGGTCCCAAGCTTCCAGTGATGGCTCTTATAATTTCTCCCCTGGCAGCAACACTCCAAGGGGAGTTAATGACCCAGAGCAGGAAAAAATTCCCAGTAACATCCCTTTGATTAATGTCAACAACAAAGAACCAACAGCATTGCAGAATGACAGGAGCAGTAACCATGGCAACAGCGCTCAGCAGGCAGGTGAAGCTGCTGTAAATGGTGAGGAGGTCCATGACAGCAAGGAGCCACAGCAAAAAGGGGCTGAGCCTGTGGTCACCATGCTAGCAATAAACATACCTACAGCTGACGACCTCTCGGACAGAGAGTCTCCAGCTCACTTGGAAGACTAGACCACCAACAGTATTTCACTGCGGGCCATATAATTTAAGTATAATAATAAATGGCCAGAACAATGCATATAAATGTGACACACACTTAATGTGAATTTCTAAAAAGTGACCAGCACAATTTTCCACTACTATACAGTATTTCACTTAGTGCCATACTTTTTTTCTTTGTTAAAAGTTTTTGTGTAATGTTATGTATTTATTAATGCTGCTAAATTCACTGAATGACAATTTTGTGTTGAATGTACATTTTGTTCCTGTTGGTCTTTGAGAAAAACTTATTTATGGCTGAAACTCATGTGCCTTATTGAGCCAGCGTTATGTTCGATGTAGATTATCTGTATTAGTGTGGTGATTGGTGTTACTATTGTAGCTAGATGCTTTTATTTTGTTGAAGCATAAACAAATCCAAAAGTCTGAACACACATAATTTATGGATGCTCCTAAACCTAATCAAATGTTAGGGTCACCATGGAGAACTTTCCTTACCAGATTCCTTCCTTTAAATCTACCGGTTCCTTGTACCCTAGCTCTAGTATAGTAAAGTCCTTGTGAGATAGAGCTAAAGTAGCATACTCACAATCTTTATCATCAGTTAGTTTATGACAAGCAAGCAAGTGAATTAATTTCATTTAGTCAAAACTATAGCCATTGGTTGTTACTAGAGCAGACTAACCAATCAGAACCTCTTTCTTACAGCAATAATACAATGTCAACACAGCAACACATTTTAGTAGTGAGTTTATTTACAATTTACAGTGGATCTGTGAGTGTGTGTGAGTGATGTGTAACATCATGATGTTAGCCAGCACCATCATCACTGTTGTTGTCTGGGATGTCATCTTTTTGTTTCATTTTCTCCAGCTTGGAAATCAGTTCTGAAAATATTTGATAATCTATCAGATACTAATCAATCAATCAGGTTACAGACACCATCTTTGGTTAAGGTAGCACTAATGTATTTAGATCTACAGCTCTTGAGCTGATTAAAGATCTAGAGATAAAACATAAGGACAGAACTTATATCTACATCACTTGAGTTGATTAAAGTGTAGGGATGGAGCTTATATCTACATCACTGGAGCTGATTAAAGATCTAGAGATAAAGTGTAGGGATGGAACTTATATCTACATCACTTGAGTTGATTAAAGATCTAGAGTTAAAGTGTAAGGACAGAACTTGTACCTTTAGCAGGGTTGTATATTCCACCAGTTGGTTCTCCACATACAAAACAACGCTTGGACTTTTTGTACAAATCTAAGGCACATTTTTCACAGAAGTAGTGTTTACACCTGCAACAGTAAAAACAGTCATGCAGAAGGTAGGAAAACCAAGAAAAGTGACATCTGTTTTCCTCTGGTCACTACTGTGTTATCTGTACTAACTCATGTTCTTAAACTCAGCAACATGAGTTTAAATAGGTTCAATGCATGAATTCACATGACTATTTTTGTATCCACTATTGCTAACATCTTTTAACAAAACTGCCTGACATAGCAGATTCAAGAAGAAAGCAAAAAAAACCTTTGTAACATGCATATGTGACTAATGACATTAGGCTGTTTTAGTAGTATAAAGATTACACAAGCAGTGTGAAACCTTGCCTTACTATCTAACCCTACAGTATTTCACACAAGGTGCCAAGTTGGGACAATATGTTTTTGACCATCACCTGTTTATCAACCGTCCTATTTATTTTCTTACAGTCTCATTTGTTTTGTTTAGAGTAGAAGCAGGATAGTCAATTATATGTCTATTAAAACACAAATAGTGTTGTTTATTTTTATCATGTGGCATTTGTGTTGTTCTTTTTAAAATTTGTTTATGAAACCACTTTAAACATGATAATGGACAAAAACGAAATTACAATTTAAATCTTTAAGGCCATATTTGGTGATCAAAACAGAATTAACAATTTAAATCTTTAAGGCCATATTTGGTGATCAAAACAGAAGTAACAATTTAAATCTTTAAGGCCATATTTGGTGATCAAAGCAGCAGTAACAATTTAAATCTTTAAGGCCATATTTGGTGATCAAAACAGAATATATTAAGTCTTACTTCGTGACAACAGGGTCTTTAAAGGAGTTGCGACAAATAAAACATTTAAATGGGAAGTCATCCTCATCACTGCTGATCTCATAGTTCTGTTCATCTGAAACAACAAACAGACTCTACATCAGGCAATAACTCTACATCAGGCAATAAATAATAAAGTTGGATACTTCTGGTGATAAGTTTTCCAAAATGAAAACAATTTTAATGGAACTAAAAAAATGATTGTGCTAAAAGTCTGAGAACCTCTCTGTCCATATGTTCCCTGCTCCATCTCTCTCTCTAGCTGCCAGCCGTGCTTGTAATCAGATCTGTCATGGAGAAACTTGCACGAATCTGTTCAAGCAAAGTACAGTAGGAACAAGCTTTTACACAGTTCATTTTAGAACAGTGCTTATTGAAATTTTAGAGGACTTCATTTAGTATATTTAAAAACAAAATTGTCGGTTTTAATTGTGTTAACAGTTGGTTTAAAATTTTCCGTTATTTTTAAACTTCTTTAAAGCTCTAAAAAAAATAATGACAAACCTCCAAAGCCACAAAATCCTGTTTCCTTATAATCTTTACATATATCCGGTTGATAATCCCAACGGACAGTGGATCTCAGATGTGCAGGAGCACGCAATGGACCGTATCTAAAAACAAGAGACACCTGACAATGGGCTTTATATAACAATTTATTTTACTAGGACTAAAAATTCACAGATTGCCTATTATAGTGACATGGTACATGTTTTCCCAACTGTAATGAAATCAATCATTTCAAATCTAATCTCCTGCTAGGATGTAGCGATCTCCATCCGCTTCCACCCATGCATGTGCAAAAGGAATGAACGGTGCTCCTGATGGATTCTTCCAGAATCTGATGCTGGTAAATCAACTCTAAGGTAACTTGGGTCGGACCATTAATCTCTAGTCTAAAAAGTTGTGTACAGAGCCCAAAATGTTTACCTGCTTTTTCCACTTAATCTCTGAACAAACTTATGTACAGAGCCCAAATATTTACCTGCTTTTTCCACTTTCTGCGTTGCCCTGGATGGAATCTTTTTTCTCATAATATTGGTGGTAGTTGTTGATTCCCCTGTAGATTTTGTCATCCTCCTTCTCCTTCAACTCCTGTCAACATAAAACTGGCTTAGAGAAATAATGCAGGAGTGGGCTCCCCTTACCTTAATGGTATAATCATAATTAGTGAGGATTTAGGATAACACTTCTGAAGGAATTGTGCTATAGAAATGACAGGTAAGACTGTGGCAAAACCCTCTTTGGGAAAACACAGAAGCAAAAAGTTAGAACATTCCAATTTATGAGATTATGAAACAAACTATCAAATTGCTCAAAAGCTGAAAGAATCCTACAAATAGGTTTTAATTTCGGCCACCTAACTGAAACTTTGATCAAGTAATTTTGTTCACAAGATTGGAAAACTGAGTTTTTCAGACTGAGGGAGCTGTAAATCACAGAGATTTTTTTCTCCCTATATTCTGTAAAAAGTAAAGAAGTATTTGTCTCTTCTCATTTGTTTGTTTAATGGACTGAATTAACAGATCAAAGCTTGATGACCAATAAAATCTAACCGTTCTTGCTGTAGACAAACCTTTTGAATGAGCAAGCTGCGCTCCAGTATGGCCTGAGCATCTCTGTCATTCTGTGTATCAACCTCCACCACCGAGGTGGCTCCCATATCATCTGGTCCCTCACGTTTCTAGGTAAAAACATTTGGAGTCAATTAACAGACCAATCTAAATGTAGAATCTACAGGATGAACATTAATAGCCAGAAAACAACGCAGAAAAATCGTCACTACACATGACAATAAAACAGATCTTTAACAATTTAAGTACAATATATATAGTCAATACATATAGTCTATACCCCCCCCCCCCCCCATTTCACTTAGCCCATAATCAATTAATTATCATTGACTTAACCTGGTTTAAGTTTGAGAATTCGACCAGTTTAAAAAAAGGAAATGTGTGATGTAACTTACCCCTGTCCGAGATGACTTGTAAGAAACTGTAACTTTGCTAACATCTTCCCTATCACTATCTGCATCACTGGAGGAGCTCAAGTGAGCACTTGTGGCTAACTTTATTCTTTTTGTCTGCACAGGACATGGATGGGTTTTTTAAATACTTGTAACTAAAAGCTTTTGAAAGATGTATTATTAAGCTTTTGTTTTATTTTAATTGACTTGACAAATTGTCTAACTCAAATTTTGTTAGGCTATATTTTGTGATGAAAACAGACAACTCACTGACTGCACCATAGGATTGATTTTCTTCTGAGAGATTTTTTGCCTGACTGCCACATTACCATCATCACTATCACTTTTTCCTGAATCCTCTGTACAAATATGGAAACAAGCATATATTAATAACTACAATCATAGATAAACTTTCTAGGGCTTTTTAACTAAACTGGAAAATTCAGGTATTAGAAAATTACAATCATTGTTGTCATTGTCAAAAGTGCATGATAAAATACACACATTTTTCTACAAACAATGGACAGCTGCCTATGAATGAGTGACACTGTCTAGGTTGTATAGTTTAGGGTTATACATTAACTGATGGGAACAGTTGAAATCAACTGTTTCTATGATCTCAGCATATTAAGTATAGTATAGGGATATTATGGTCAGCACTATAACCAGCCACCTTTACTTTCCCTCTAAACTAATTTAAGTCAGTACCCATCAAGGGATCGGTGCAGTCGATACGGTAAAGCTCATGGCTGCTAAACCAAAAGTCTCGAGTTCGAACCCTTAGGCAGATGAGCCTCAACAGCTGGGGAAAGCAACTCTTCTAAGAGAGTCAACTCCAAAATCAAACAACTGCTGCCTTATAGTTTGTTGTTGCTTGACAATGGAAGCAAACCCAAAAGGAAAAGCAGGCTGAAATCTGAGCCTATATGGCACATAACAAGTTGACATGTATACTTAATTGTGTTGGAGGGAATCTTTTCCAACACTAAAATCAAGAACGCACAAGAAGAAGTACCCATTACGGTCAGCAGTCAATGACTCTACTAGATTATGACTCTACCCAGACTCTCTAGTTAAATGTTATATCAAGAATCTACAGTTAATTAGATTATCTAGACTAGATTCTGTAAGTAGTCTTTCTTAGATTCTAGATCTACTTTACTCACTAATGACACTCTAGCTAGAGTACCTATACTTACTATTATATACAAGCTCTAGTAAGATCTACAACTGTTTTACTGTACTGTACGGTGTACACCTATGCCGCTATATTAATATTATATAGATCTAGATCTATATGATACGCTAGCTTAGAGAGTAGAGAGAGAGACTGAGAGAGAGCTCACTGTACAAAGTACTTTGGTACTAAATTTAACTAGATCTAGATTTTTCTAAAAAAAAAAATCGAAGTGAAAGTGTTCGTTCTGAAGCGTGTAGTCGGGCCAGGCAGAGTTACTCTAGATCAGGGGTTCTCAACCTTTTTTTACTCTAGAGCACATTCTAAAATATCGGTAGGGTAGCGGGCACCACCTATTTTAAATCGACAAACTCCTTCCAGAGGTGTAGCGACCCTTCCCGTCACCCGGGGACAAAACTTCCGATTTGCACCCCCCCATTAAACTTTTGATTTGCACCCCCCTCAAAGTTTGGATTTTTCTCAAGTTTTAACAAAACTAAATTATCAAAATCTAAAACAAAGTCAGTCTCTTTGTTTTTTTTTTATTCATTTTTATTAATTTGTTAAAACAAAAATACACTACAAATAAATGAATTGTGTTTTCCTAATGTTTTGGTGTGTTTCGGTTGTTATAATAAAATACTTAATATGCTCAACTGGAGGTAAACAAGCAGCGGAGAAATAAAATACGCTAAAATTGAGTTTTACCGAGTACAGTACAGTTGAGTACAGAGTACAGTACAGTGTGAGTTCAGTGTGTACAGTACAGACAGACTGTGAGACAGTACAGTACAGAGTAGTACAGACAGACTGTGAGTCGTGAGACAGTACAAGTACTTAGTACACTGTACACTAGTGTACACTACTGTACAGTTGAGTACAGGAAGTATTCGAACGTGAATAAACTTCAGCAGTACTGGCTAAGTCTATAATCTAATTTAGAAAATGTTTTGTATTTTATTACTAGATCTAGAGATCTATATCTACAATATTGCTAACCATTACTGCTGCTGTCATTTCGCTGCTTTCTAACAACCCGCTTTCTTGTAATTTTCTTGAAAGAAAAACTAGCTTTTTCTGAGTCGCCCATTTTGAAATTATTTGATTGCATCGGTTAGGTGGTGTTTGTTAATACTCATAGCTAGCTTATTTGATTTCGTGTACAAAAAGTGTAATTATCAAGAATGGACAGTTTTTAACGTTTACCTGCTTTTTTTTTTTAATTTTAAATGTAATTTGTTGTTTTAGATCTAGATCTAGGCCTAATACTAAATAACTTTTCGAAAATTAAAAGAAACAAGTTAATAAAAAGTCTAGTGACAATTTAAGCGCAATTTCCTTATGTTATCCATAACAATTTTAAATCGAGATAAATCATATATTCAGCAAATAAATAATGCAACACAAGTAGTTTTAATAATTCAAAACAAAATAGAAAAAATATTTATTAACGAGATTTTAAAAAAATTGCAGACGTGTAGGGGTATTTAGTTGTCGCGCTCTCTATATTGCTATATAGTACTGTAGTGTATTATGTATAATGTATTTTTTTTTTAATTTTGTGACCGAACGAAAGAATATTTTTGAAAACTTTCTTCGGCAATATTGTTCTAAATTATGGCAGGAATTGATTGGTAAATGTTTCAAGTCGCTAAGTGGTCTGGTTGCCGAGATATGGGCCAAAAACTGCATTTTTTTCCGAGGTTTTTTGGCTTTTCCGGGAAATCCAGGAAGGAATTCCGGATTTTTTTTTGGCCCACAATCATCCTCGGAACTTGCTTAACATATTTGCTTTTGGAACTAGTCCTCGATGTTGCTTCGTTGAGGAGGAGATACGACTTAAAGCTGCGGTAAAGCTGCGGACACACATCCATACATCCATAAATTTCGAGGTTTTTTGGCTTTTCCGGGAAATCCAGGAAGGAATTCCGGATTTTTTTTTTTGGCCCACAATCATTCTCGGAACTTGCTTAACATATTTGCTTTTGGAACTAGTCCTCGATGTTGCTTCGTTGAGGAGGAGATACGACTTAAAGCTGCGGTAAAGCTGCGGACACACATCCATACATCCATAAATTTCGAGGTTTTTTGGCTTTTCCGGGAAATCCAGGAAGGAATTCCGGGATTTTTTTTTTTTGGCCCACAATCATCCTCGGAACTTGCTTAACATATTTGCTTTTGGAACTAGTCCTCGATATTGCTTCGTTGAGGAGGAGATACGACTTAAAGCTGCGGTTAAGCTGCGGACACACATCCAGAACGAGTTAATAATCGCAATTCCAGTATGGAAATTGCGCTAAAAAAAGAGAGAGTATGGCCCGCTGTGTCTAGTCTAGTGTTGTTTGAGAAATTAAATTAATTGGAAAAAGACATTCTCACTAAAATTAGCTATTTTCTGCTTTTATGTCACCCCCTCGAATGGTATCGCTCCTGTACAATGTAGATCTAATATGTATGGCATAATAATTTAATTACAGAATTATGGAGCCACACTTTCCACACGCAGTCACCCATGCTAAACAACGCCGGTTCTGTGAATTTGACCTGAAGCGTTTCGAAGTACCGTATAGATCCCTTGCAATTGACGTCACTAGTCACTAACTATATAAACATCCGCCATCGCGGTGAACAAGTTACGTTTAAACTGGTGATCTGCGCTGTAAAAGGTTGTACTACTCGAAGTGGAAGTTATAAAGCAATTTCTTTATTTAGACTTTACAAATGTATAATAAACCAAAGTAAAAGGGATCAACAGTTATCAGAAAATATACGTTTTCAATTTATTTGCAAATTTGTATAGAAGCAGTGTGAGTGAAGCAGTTGCTAATTAATCTGTTCTCGACAATTTGTTTTTTAAGATAAGGATATTAAACAATAAACTTAATTTTAAAAGACAATTTTATAATAATTTTTGAAAGCTACTATAATAAAAAAAATATGTTAGGCCTTCTAAAAAAACCTGCATCTCTCCAGGGTGAGGGGAGGGGCAGCGTCTCCCCGGAGTACGTCTACCACCCCTCCCTCGAGCGAAATAAATTTTATATGCAAAAAATATAATACAACATGTGACCGCCCTCATCCCGGAAATTCATGTCCGCCCCCACCCCTCTCCCAAGTTTCAAGTACCTCCCGGATAAATATGTCTGGAAAAAAACACTGCTTTTGCTATAGGCCTAGATCTCTACAAAGTTAAGACATTTGATCCTAATGTTAAGCCGTTTTTTCGAGGTCATGGCGCCCTTACACCATCGATCGTCTGCTATCAGATTTCTCTATTTCTTCCTGTCACGGCCGGCGATGACCAACACTTCAAGTTTTATGGCCCTTATGAATGGCGTGGGATTTATTTCCATTTACTGCCAAAAACTTCTGCGACAACACAGTACAGAATGGTGTTTTGTTACCACAGGAGTGTATAACCTTTGGTGTGTTGACAGGGGTGTATGTAGCCAGAGGTGTATGTAGCCAGGGGTGTATGTTAACAGGAGGTGTATTTAACCCAGTTTTGTTTAACATGGGGTATTGTTAGTGTTGTGTATGTAACATGGACAGGGGCGGATTAAGCTTGGGCGGGGTCCCGGGCTGAAACTTTTTGGGGGCCCCTGATTATATATATATATTATATATATATATATATATATATATATATATATATATATATATATATATATATATATATATATATATATATATATATATATATAAATAAATATATATATCCTAATCAGCATACCATTCAAGATATTAATGGATTATTTATAGCTTATAGGAACATTCGACACCGATATTTGCAAAACTGCTAATTTAAAAAGCGGTCAATTGTGTTCAATGACCGGTAAATTGGATACAAACATCTAACCTTCTCTTCTTCTTCGTATTTAATTTTAGTGTTGGAAGGGATCCCCTCCAATACAGTTAAGTATACGTGTCAACTGGTTAGGCGCCATTGAGACCATTGACTCTGATTTCAGCCTGCTTTTCTTTTTACTTTCTCGTATATACGAGCTATAGAGAAAGTCTTGTAATCGTGCAAAAAAAAAAAAAAAAATCGAGATTTTTGCAAATCTCGACGTTTTACATCTCACTGATACGGAAAAACATAATTTTGCAATCTTGTCCGTATGTATGTGTGTCTGTGTGTTTGTAAACACGATAACTTGAGTACCGCTACAGCTAGGTTGATGCAATTTTATATAAAAGTATTTTATCAAAATCGTAGATCCCTATCAACTTTTGAGCGATTTCCGACATCCGGAAGTGGTACTTTTTCTACTTTGAATTTTTCAAAAGCCTATAACTGGAGTACTATTTCAGATAGATAATGGAATTTCACACGTAAGTAAAAAAATCTAATTCTCTACCTTCTATCAAATTTTGAGTAATTTCCGTTGACCGGAAGTAGTAATTTACGCTATTTCCGATTTCTCAAAAAAACGCATGTAAATTTATAAAGTACTAATAATATTCCGCACTATTATGCACATTTTTTTGGGCGTTCGCTTGATGCGCAATTCTTTTTTCTATGAGATTCTATTCTAGTTTATAAAAGTTTAATTATTTAAAATGGATTAAAAAACGTAACTACATCCCGAGTTCCCATCCCCCTTTTTTTTATATATAAGAATATTCGAGAAAGTTTAGGGGAGATCACTCCCAGTTTATACTTTCTCGTATACAGAGAATATTGAAAGTATTGTAATCGTGCACAAAATTCACATGAAATTTTGACAGTTTCCACCGTTTTACTTCTCAATACTTCATCATAAACGGAGTATAGGGGACTTATTTTAATCGTTCAAAAATTCTAAATTCAGATTTATTAAAATTTCGGTGTTTTACGCGTAATCTTGTCGGAAAAACTGGACTTTGCAATTCTGTCCGGATGTGTGGATGTGTGTCTGTAAACACGATAACTTGAGTACCGTTAAAGCTAGGTTGATGAAATTTCATATATAAGTATTATATAACATTTGTAGATCCTTTTCAACTTCTCAGCGATTTCCGATAACCGGAAGTGGAACTTTTTCTAGTTTGAATTTTTCAAAAGCCTATAACTGGAGTGCCTTTTTAGATAGATAAATGAAAATTTCACATACAAGTAAAATATATAAATTTTAATAATGAAATAACACACGGGAACAACTACGTTTGTCTTCGTTCAAAAATACGCTATGATAGAATAAAACTGCTGTTACCAGATCAAACAAATCAAGTCTCAATGTTCATGTGCTATAGATGGAACAGAACACATTCAACTGTAAATATTGGTAATGCTCAATCTATCACTGTAATACAAACTGGGATGCACACCATGAGTCCAGGGACAATGGGCAGGAGTCATGGCACTTTTATCTCAAGTCATGTGGAATGATTCATTCTTTGTTGAAATAGAAGCATGTCGAACAGGCAAGGTATTAACTATTGCATTCAAATTATAGCAAACCAAAATGGCTATCTGTTTGCTAATATTAAAACTGAAACAAAATAACCTGCTCACAGTTAAACATTGAGCCACTTAATTCAAGACTATCGTACCTTGATTACCGAATGCCCCAACTTCTACTTTAGGCAATCACTTTTATTTTATTTTTACTTTCTCGTATATACGAAGTATAGAGAAAGTCTTGTAATAGTGCAAAAAAAATCGAGATTTTCACAAATCTCGACGTTTTACACCTCACTGATACGGAAAAACATAATTTTGCAATCTTGTCCGTACGTCTGTGTGTCTGTCAGTGTGTGTGTCTGTCTGTCTGTCTGTGTGTAAACACGATAACTTGAGTACCGTTACAGCTAGGTTGATGAAATTTCATATATAAGTATTTTATCAAAATCGCAGATCCGTATCTACTTTTGAGCGCTTTCCGATAAACGGAAGTGGTACTTTTTCTACTTTGAATGTTTCAAAAGCCTATAACTTGTGTACTATTTCAGATAGATAGATGAAATTTCACATGTAAGTAAAAGTTCTAATTCTCTACATTCTGTCAAATTTTGAGTAATTTCCGTCGACCGAAAGTACTAATTCACGCTATTTTCGATTTCTCAAAAAACGCATGTAAATGTATAAAGTACTAATAATATTGCACACTATAATGCACATTTCACTTGGTGTGCATTCCTTTTATCTACGAAATTTTAT